TTTGGACTGTAAATTTATAAGATCATAGCCTATGTTATATCATAATAATATTTTTTATAAGTAAGTAACAGACAAAAGACACAAAAGTAAATTTTATACTAAATTTAATAGCAATTTGTATTATAATAATAATACCACCAACAAACCATAAGGGTACATTTGGCAAACATTGCGACTCTTCCAAATCGACAGCTTCCTACAGGAGGAGAAAACAAATACTTTCTTGATTATACTGTCATTTAAAAAAATCACGTCTAGCACAACCAGAATCACAATTGCACCTCTATCACAGTAAAAACTGGAATTTTTTTACACAGAAATTTCATATTTGTATCTCACCTAAAAAAGAAAAAAAAACTTACTCTGCAATGGATGGAAGTATGCAGGATAATATCTACATTTGATATACTGAGTACTTTTCTCAGAATTCTATCATTTAAGGCATGGGCAAATGTAGGTCATTCTATATCATTTCTGATTTGGGCTTTTTAAGCTTGCCAAGGTCAAAGACCTTCCACTCTTTATGAAGTAACTCGGCCACTGATGGAAGTCTGTGATGGCTGATATTTTGTTTGCTGATTTGATTTACTGCTGTACTGAAAAAATCCCTGCAGAGAAATGTTATTGACTTATTATATTATTGCCATGTTTTAGAGGTCATGGAAAAACACTGCACAATCTACAACTAGAATGTTATTCTGGCCCTGGGTCCCTTTGCAGAGCTTGCATAGAAATCTGCAGTAAATGCCTTAAATCTGTACTCCAATGCTTTCTTCCTCTGGGCAAGTTCCTTCTTCAGTTCCTCAGCCTAAAATGAGGTAAAGGTATACTCAATGTTGTTTCTTTTTCCACTTTTGATACACTGAATATTCTAAACTGACAAACCAAAATTATTTTACTGTAAATAGACATCATGTCAAAGTTACAATATTTTATGTTCTTCAGTCATAAATCAGTCCAGTAGATACATCAAAGATGTAGTAGCAAAAAAAAAAAAATTTAAATTAGGAATCGCATTAACACTGTATGCTGTTTCTAGGAAAATTCAGTAACACTTTCCATTTCTGCACAACTCGATTATCACTGCCAAATACATCCAAGTAAAATCATATAAACAAATGTACAAATAGTATTTTTTACAATTCTATCCTCCATTCATCAGTACTGATCCTCTTCTTTGATAGTGTGAAAGATTTTCATTAATCTTGATGACATACATAATTCATATAAATTGTATAATTATTCTGATAACAAAGTCACTGCTGATTGTTATGATGACAAGTAACTTGTTTGTGACAACATATACCCACTGCTTGTGACATCAAATCAAATACTTGTATTTTTTGTGATGTCATAAACAGTGAAAAAATAAAAATTACATACATATAAATTGAAATTTCTCAACTTAGTGCGTCATCCTTGTAGGAACCAATAACGGAATTTGCATTGATAAATTGATTTGGTTTTCCTGAGATGGTCTGTATTTATCTTTTATATGTAACATGGTGATGGAAAAAAGTTGGATTTCATGTATCATTAGTCTTGTATTTGTGACATCATAATTTGAGTATATATGTAATAGGAGGTTAAAAAAGGATGTGTGTGACATCATAATGCATCTTTGTTAAATCATAATACTTGGACAACCTGCATTAGACAGTAGGTAAACAAATGGCAACTGATTATTAATTAAAAAGGCGTGTCTTTGATCTCTTGCAAAATACTCCCATATTATAGTAAGTTGATGTTGATGTTATGCTATTAGTTCCCAACATGGTGTTTGTCATGGTTTACTGTTTACTAGTTTTTCATCTAAATTGTTGTCAGAATGTTACAAAAAACACAATTTGCAGTAAAACCTTTATCCATACCTGTGCTGCAAGTGTATCAACATGGGTGCAGACACAACAAGACAAAACATCACAAACAAAATGTGCAACACATCAAAAAAAAAAAAAAAAAATTATTCAACAAGCAGACAAAACATTTATGGACATGTTGCTGTCAGCTATTACCATTTTTTGATCAGCACTAAGCAGATATGCCGCATTAATTTGCTATTATAAAAATAATAATTTTATCATGTTAATCATAGTACAATACTGGGGAAGGGAACCTACAAGCTAGGGTGGTTTAACAACAGACTGCCTCGTCATTCCTCCTCAGGTTGCTTTAGTGCATTTTATTCCTGGCTGCTATTAATGATTATGTTCAATGAACTCAATTTATGGGGTTAACTTTACTATCAGAACATAATGAGAAGGGCAGGGTAAAAACATTAGTGAGAAGAGGGAGTGTCAGTCTAATTTTGTCCAGTGGTATGACTGGCCAGGACAGTTAATCTGCAGACTACATGCTGTTAGTGGACATGTTACTACTATAAATCACAAGGTTAGGGTATACAAGCAAATAATGTGGACAACCTGGTGACCAGTGTTTGAGGTCTTGATAACGTTTCAATAGGTCATTCTGCAAGGCCTTAACCTAAAGTCAAGTGGAATAGAAAAATTGAAGGACACATGTCTATTTAAAAACTCTTTAGAAATGATACTATAACTCAAACTGTATAGTGTTATAAATAAATACTAGAAAAGCTACAAGCTGATTCTGATTACTTGAAAAGTAATATAGTATAGTTTTTAAATAAAGAAATGAAATTTATAACAATATTTTAAAGAATACAGCAATCAAAGACTGTTTACAACTATTCTACAGCAGATAATCTATAGGACAATTATATTGACCAAATTTATAGAATCTTTAATTTTTGAGGAAGCATAGCACAGCAAAGCAGTCTTTGCACTTGTGAACAGAAATGAATAAATAAATAAGAAAAATGCAGTGAGATATATGTAAGAATATGAAAAAGCCACACTGAATAGTGACCGTGTACTTTGCTACAAATATGTATACAATGAGCTATATGATATTATAATATCTGCACTGTATTGTAGGCACAACTTACAATTGCCAGTTCTTTCCTTGCAGCTTCCATTTCTTCATTTGGTGTACCCTTTGGTTTTTTACGCCTCTCCTGCATCTCAAACACGTGTGCTTTAATTTTCTTTTCAAGTTCTCTGTCTCGTTGAATTCTGTGAAAAACATAAACGAGAAAATTATACAAAGGCTAATCAATGAATGCAGTTCTAATAATCACACCCTGTACTTTCATGATCAGAGACTTCTGTGTCCTTTTGACTGAAGCCATAAGTAAAATAACTAATGAGAATGCAATATGAGCTTTTGTGTTCCCACCTTTCTTCTTCCAGTTTCTGTCTGGTGTTGGGAGTTATTGCCCTCCTAATTCTTTCATGTTTCTCTCTCACATCATGCTGGAATGAGAGGATTTTATATTCACATTTCAGTTTTCTGAAATTCTGTTGGTGCAACTTTTGGGTATTCTTGATATTCATCAAGAAATTCTTACACAGAGAAACACAGAGATTAAAGATGCATATTAACCAAGTACTCATGTCACGTTATTGTGGTTACACCTGATATACTATCCTCTACCAGGGCCACAGATTGATTTTTCACTGAATATTCACAGATGTCTCTGGCTAATTCATAACACAATACTCTAGTACTACTTGCATACAGAAAAGTGCACATAATTTACCAGAGACACATCTGTGAATATCTAGTAAAAAATCAATATGCAATCCAGGAAGGGGGTAACCAAATACCATCATATAGCTTACAATAGTATATCTTAAAGAAATACTAAAGAGTTTCATAACATTTTCCTAAAAAGTGTTTGCATTTAACATTTGTGTAATGGAACTATTTATGAACACCAAGCTTCACTGATCTAAATCTTTTTTTTTTTTTTTTACAAATTTTGAATGATTCTGTGACTAAGAATAACAAAACAACAAATAAAGTGACTTCCTTTAAGGATACCTTTATTCTTTCTTCATTAGTTGGCACTTTTATGTGCTCCTCATCAATACCAAAAGGAGCTTGTTTTACTGGATCTAAGAAATCTGTGAAATAACAACACATGATATAATATAAAAATACATGATAAATATTAAAACACACACACACACACACTAAGAGTGTATTCCCAGAGATTTTAGATCGATCTATCCCTGTGGGGAGTCTCACTAGATTACTGTCAGATAATCCAGCTTAAATGTCCGTCCCGCCTACTACAAGCTGTAAGGGGGTAATTAACTTTCATGCCCGCTCGGCTGACAGCTATAGCGTGAACCTCCAGGGAGTTAGGTCGATCTAGTTTGGGTCGATCTAATCTCTGGGAATGGGGTCTTAGAAAACACATGCACACGTACAGGGATAGGAACAGAGTACACTGATCTTTCATAAATGTTGCTCTGATTCCTGTCTTTGAACCCAATAATCCACAAACTTTCTTTAATTTTTTGTGAGGAATCAAACTCACATTGATACATTTATGAGTAAACAAATAAAATGATATCAGAATGATTAAAAAGGGTAGCAATGTATGCCATTATATAAAACAAGCTTTTTCTATTTATGTGAAATAGTAGATATACCTTTGGTTCCTTTTCTGACACTTTCCATGTACTTCTTTTCTTTCAGTTTTTTAGTTTCATCTCTCCATTCTTTCAGCTGAGCGATGTCTCTAGAAAATGTATAGTGTAAATTTGAGAGGGTGTGTTTCTTCATTTTTTATAAAGGAATGAGCTTCATAAAAATCCCTTTAAACATAATACCTTGAAGATATATACTGCTTGTTGAATAAAAAAAATTTCTGATAACTAATATACTACCCTTTCATCTGCAAAATTTATGATCATCTGAAAATGCTTAAAAGAAAGTGAATGTGTGCCACTTATAAAATGAAATTTCAGTGAATGCTTTATAGTCCAGACATAGTATGCTCACTTTCTTCTCTGCAAAATAGCATCAGTCTTTTCATTGAACTCCCTGTGCTTGGCTAATTTTCGCTCCTCTCTGGCCTTTTGTTGAATGAGGTCTATTGATGGTGGAGAAGGATACTTGGCGAGTTCCACAGGCTTCTTTTTCTTTTTTACTCTTTTCCTGAAGAATACAAATAATAGTATTTATAAAATCACTTCATGAAGCTTAAAGTTTACAATGTCACTTTTTATGACACTGTCCATAGCTTTTTTAAAGCCATTGGTCTACTTGGTTTTGTTTTAAAAAACCAAGAAGTACCATTGCTGAGCACTGTTATTGAGTGATATATATATATTTAAATTAAAATTTACTTCTTACTCAGCCCTGGTCCGAGCTCTCTTGTTATTATTTTACAAGTAACAGTACTTTGCAAATGTTTGTAAAAGGTTCTAATATTGCACATCCTGATAACAGGTGCTTCCACAAATAAATTAGTATTAGTGATAATGTAATTAGAAAGTGACAAAGTCAACATGAACATATTTTCATTACTGACTATGAATCTAAAGAAATCTGAATAATGAAGATGGTAAAATAAAATTCCAAAGATAAAAATAAATAAAAAATTAACCATATTTTCAGCTTAGTTCAATCGAAAATGTCTTCTGTTTGTTGAAATCATCAAGTGCCACTTTATTTTTATCTGAAATATTAGAAAAAAAAAACTCACCCTTCTTTTCTTTCTACCATTCCCAGAGCACCAGCCTTTTTATATTTTTCAATCTGTTGTTGTTTAAACTCTTCATAACTTTTTGGTTTATGTAGTGCTGCAGTCTGAGGTACTGGACCAAATGTCTCTGAGTCACTGTGCTGAACTGAGCCTCTGTGTTTACTTGATTTACTACTAGGAAGTGACTTGAATTCTTCGACTGACCTTGAACTTGAAGAAGACTCATTTTCTTCATGAATTGTCAGCTTGTCTAATCTGAGATCTGTAAGGAACATTTTAATGCTTGTAAAAGTGGTGCAAGGTGCAAACATTATATTTTTTTGTTTTTAACTGAACAGATGCTTCCTCCAAAAACTCACCAACATACATATGCTGCAAAAACTTTCACAAAATTCCTTTTTATTCAATGCTACAGTTACTTCTCAGAAACTACACATTGTGTGACAAACTAGCTTACATAGCATACATGTCATTAGGAATGCAAGTGAATGGAAAAATGCACAAATTCCTTTTGTCTTTAAGAGGATGTATACAACAGGTTTCTTTTGTTTTAAATTTTATTATAAATCTTCAGTTGTTTAATTCTTACCTGTATTAAGAGGCAATCCCTGTGATTTGGCAAATAGGAGTTCTCTGAGATATGTGAGGATATCATGAGTTCCTTTCTCTATAACCTCAGCAGGGGGAAACTCCAGTGGATTGTTATTAATGTTCAGCCCATTTAGGGACATGACTAGACCTGACATTGAATTTTGGAATCTTTAGTCTACACATACTTTAATTACACTAAGCATGTTATGGTGCAATAAATAAATGCTATGCATATTTATGCATTATGATAAAAATGTATCCAATAAAAAATGGCACTATATTTTCTTAATAATTTTCATCTCGCAAGGCAATGATTTAATTATACAAGCTAAATTCACAGGTTAAATAATTCTTTATAAACAGTCTGACACCATCTTTACATTAATCTCTGGAGAGATATTTTCTGCTGCATAAATCAATGAGATTTTAATTAAATAAAATGGCAAGCTACCAACCTAGCTCCAATGGGAGTGACTTCAATTCATTGTGCTCTAACAGCAAGTTCCTCAGATTCTGATGGCTTCCAATGTATGCACTGGGTATATTCACAATATAGTTGTGCCTGAGATCTAGCCATTTCAATCTTGGGAAGCATTCAAAGAAATTTTCTGGGATATGGCATAACTGGTTACCTTCCAAGTAAATATACTGAAACATATAAAGCAATCTTACCACAAACTTACATAGGTGAATGTAATTCAATACATATGAAATATATATAAAGAGTTAGATAAACCTTCACAAAAAGAAACTAGATGACTGTTTTAGAAGACACATTTATTTGCAACAAATATTACTACTACTATATCAGATATATATATGTATATTTTTATCATAAATACATCATGTAAAAAATAATATCCACAAATTCAATAATTTGCAAAATTAAAAGAAAGAAACTGGAAATATAACACTTATTAAAATTTGGAGTGTTCTATAAATTTCATGGCTACTAGCTCAATCAGTATCAAAATAATACGATTTATAATACCTCTAAATGATTCAATTGAAGAAGTTCACTTGGAATTTGCTTTAATCCCTTTCTACTCAAATCTATAAATTGAGCACCAGACTCTGCACACTGCTGAATAAGTCTTGTTACTAAATCTTCGTTTCTTTGATTATCTATCTTAGTCCTTGCTGATAAATCCATATCACCATTAATTTGTAGGTCTAACCCCACATCACCATTCATTTGGCATTTTTTGCTTCCAACTAGATGGTCAACACTTGACATATCCGATTCCGACATATCTGAAGAATGCACATAGTCTTGCGTTGAAGGATTCATGTTGGTGTAGTCATTTATGATCGCATGATCCACTGCAGATTCCTTCTTTGTGCATAAGCAGACAAAAATATCGCATGAAGGGACATATCGACTTCAACCATCTCCAAACATCCAATATGGCGGATGTCAACAAATCACCATAGCGATTGTTTGATCACGTGAATGCATATATATCTCGCAAAGTACATTATTTAAACAATTTATTTTTATACCATATGTTACCAAGAACAAACCTTTGTCTATCACACAATCAAACTAAAGTTAAATTATCCTGTAGCAATTAGACTATTTCATTCAACCCGTGCCCCTAAACCAGTGACCTAGCTAAAGGTAAAGTAGGTCAAATAGCTGTTGCAAGATCACCAATTCACACTTGAATAAACGAGGCGTACACATAAACAGAGTGTCAATATCCGCGTGCACTCACCTACAGGTACACGCCTTTCTACCAGGAAAATGCAGATACTGAGTTAGAGGAAATGCATGGCCAAACACCACCACCAGTGAGAGAGTTTGAATTCAGTTACGGAAAGATAGTATTTGCGGTTTGACCGCCGTTGGTGCGATCCTGCCGTGTGCAGAATCCGCCAGCTGCAAGAATAACTCAAGATTGGGTGCACCATGGGCGGGTTGCATTCGAGTTCAGCCAAGAAAACTCCCCCAGAGACAGACCAGCATGGTGAAGGTAGGGCAGTATCGACTGAAGAGTTGATTTAATACAACTCCTCCCGTGTGTTCTTTCCTTCCTTCTTTCCTTCTTTTTTTCTTTCTTTAGTTATTTATTAATTTATTTACTAGTATTTATTTATCAGATGCACACGTCTTTTCACAATTTTTCTGACGTGAAACTATCTCACTCTGATATCTTACACTGAAATTTATTTTTCAGGAAAAGCAACCCGATGGAAATTATTTTTATACACTATAATAGAATTATCTGTAATCAATTGATTTTGTGCTTGGTTAAACAACAGGTTGATTGACTTTTAGATGAGGTTTCTTGAGTTGCTGTTCTAATATGTTATCACAAAGCACTAAAAGGACAGTTTACTGGATTTTGGCATGAATGATTTTGGCATAAACAGCAAATTTTTCTGGTGTCCTCAATAATTCACGGTTCTTGCACTTTCAGTTACAATATCACTTTGTCATACTCCAAACTGATGTACTAGTACTAGTACATAAATGTGTTCAGGACCTTTTTTTTCTACTTGGCTTAAACAGAGTGAACAATTGGAAGCCTTCCTTAAAGGTTTCACAGTGCACAAAAGGGCAATTTTTGAGTAGGGAAATAAATTTAATCAATTAGAAAGGATGAGGCATGCCTTTGAGAAATGAACACAGGCAATATATGAAGGGCATAGCAATAAGAATAAGATTTCAGACTTCTTCAAAAATCCTATTGAGGCTCCCATAAATTATGGTAAGTGTAGGCAGAAATAGTAGATGACATATTAGATACTCAGAAGAGCACACACAGAGAGTGTACACATCCACCATGGCATCTCAGTTCTCATCATTATTAATTATCAATCAGTGATCACTATGTTTGACCATCCCAGAAATTTTTCCAAATTTTTCCAAAAACCAACTGTTATAGTTAGACTTCTTGCAAACAAATAAAGGCAAAAGCGAATACCTTGGTGTCCAAGATACTAGTATAAAACATGCAGTTTACAATTAGCTTGACATTATATGAGACTAGAAAAGGTGTGAGGTAGGGCTAACTCATTAAGTCATAGAAAGCAATAAAAAATCACTTTTAAAATAAAGGTAATTTGTACTATTTTGCAATGGACTAATTCACCAGGACTTTAGAGAAAGAACAGAAAAATAGCCATAGATACATTCTGTTAGCTTTTAACCATTGTGACACATACAATACTTGCTGAACTAAATGATTTAATTTTAATTCAGACTCAACTTTGCTCCAAATCACGTGAAATGTCACTTGATTTTACATTGAAGTGCAGGACTTTGGGCAATCTAGGATGATTGCTATTGCAATGTCCAAGGATCATGTATATATTACCTTGCAGTATCTATCACTCTGTCAAGCTCCAAACTCGTGTTCATTAACTATTTTCCAGCAGAAGAGAAACTGTGTCTGACATAATTGCATGCAAAGTAATAATATTGCCAAGAAAAATTACTCTTGTCTGGACTCAGTCTGTACTGGTAGGTATATTTATTCACATTCTGTTATTGGCAGTGTATACAACCATGTAGTCACTGGCTATCAATTTCCTGTTGAAAAATGTCCTTGTGTCAAGGCAATGAGTTACTTAACCAAGGAACTTTCTGTTTCACTTTTCCTTGGACTAGACAATTTATGAAGTCTGTCACCTAATTATTGTGAAGCATGATATATAGTATCAGTAACTTCCCAGTGAGTGGTGAGAAACTTAACACTTTTGTGGGAAAACATGTAAGAAAACGGTATCTTTTTTTTTTTTTTTTGAAATTATATTGGCAAACAGCAGTATGAAATTTTTTTAAAAAGTATATTGAAAAATCAAAAGGGATATTTGGTTTCTCTTTGCAGAGTAGCATTCAATTTTGCCTGCTTCATTAACCATTAAAAAGTATGGAAAATTGTCATTTTCCCTAGGAAAATAAGTTTTTTAGGGCCAAAATGAACACTTGTTATAACTTTAACCATTTGATCTGTTTAACCTTCAAATTCCTTGAAAGAAAATATTTTGGCCTTATAATCTTTCAGCTTTTGAACCTTAAAATTCTTCAAAACATAAATCAATTTCATCCTCTTATACATTCAGATTTCCAGATGTACCTAGTTTGTGCAGTTTTGAAAACTAGATGACCTCTTCTACCTAGTTCAGTTCTGGGTCAGTTTTGAGTATATATTCAACACAAAATCAGTGTTAACGTCATCAGAGGTCACTAATATATATATATATATATATATATATATATATATATATACCAGTATACAATCTATATTTACGACTTTTCTCCTTGTGCCAAATAAGAACTGTGTTTACTTATGTGTAGGAAATTTTGCCAGGATACTAGGCATCAGGGGATTTTATGTGTTAACTACTGTTTACTGCATGCTGTTGCACAAAAAGTCAACATGAAACATTGGTTCAAGAGCTTTGAAGAATAGTTGGCTCATATTAATTGCATTTGACATAATTATATGGGTCATTGTCATCTCTGAACTTTGTTTAGATGATCAGAATTTGCTCAAGGATATGAGGTAAAAGACAAATATATATATATATGAGTGGTCTTTAACAGAGTCTCTCTGTGAATTGCAGCTTAGTGTGTAGTTTGAGAAAGCTAAGATTTCAGCCCAAAATCTGATATAAGACTTGGTGAAACAGGTCCCTAGATTTTTAAATAAATACATTTTTACTCATACAGGTGTGCATATGCTGAAAATATTTAATTTTTTATTTACTTGATATTGCAAAAAATATAAAAGAAAAAGAATTAAATCAGCCCACAGTGTCCAGTATAGTTGCCAATATATTTGATGTGTTGTTCCTTGTATTATATTATATTAGATGAGATAAAGTTCAGTTGTGTACATGGCAGTAATCTCTTATGGCAAACAGAAATATGACCCAATAGATGCCTCTTAGTATATCTGTCCTTGCAGACAATGTCAACATAATTGATTGGTTAACGTTATTGGTTTTATTCTTCCTAGATGAAGATTTGTAGTCAGCTCTCCATGGTAATAGATTTAGATTAATTATTCATCAAGTATCCGTCACTTCTATTGGAAAAGCTGGAGGAAAGCAATCACAACAGGTTTTTTATTTTGTTATAATCAAATTTAACTGATAATTCATAAAACCTGTGTGTAGAAAGACAAATATTGTTAATTTTCTGTATATGACTTTTTCTTAATATAAAATTATAGAGAGGGGTTGGGGGACTTTTCTTTCATCCAGACTCAAGAGCAGAAAAATGCAGATAATTTCAGTGAATTTTCTTTCTTTGTTTTATATAATCACAAGGAAAAGACAAATCCACTTAAATTGACTTCATAGCAATCTGAAAGTCTCCAGAATATCAGGATTCTGCTTCTTTTAATAACATGCACAGGTAGGCTCTATTATACCAGGTGGACCACTGCTGCTATGATAGCAGCCCTCTGACTGAGATGACGTCAGCTAAAATGGTGAAGGGTTGATTTATTCTTCTCTATGAGAATAAACTGTATATACTTGCAAACTTGTCCTATGCCAATGGGTGTGCTTCATTACCTGATAACAAGATTACATTTGTTCTGACTTTGGCCCAATGTTGGTAATCCAACAAGCCGACATTGGTCCAGTATCATTTGCACAACCCTAGGCATTGAGCCAACAATATGCCAGTGTTGGATATTCTGTTGATATGACTGCTGACATTGATCAAACTTTTGCCCAATGTTGGCTGGCCAATATCAAAAAGTTGGCAATTTTGGCATCGTGTTGGCCCATTGTTGGAAGGCAAATGCCAACTGAATGCCAAACATGCCAACATTGGCCAACATCAACTTGCTGTCTGGGATTATAAGACTGTTTTAATAAATCAATGGATTGGAGTAAGTCCTAGGCCTATAGCCTAGCATTTTGGTTATTTGTAAATAATTTAATTTAATGACTTGGGAATTAATATTAGTGTGTGAAACTCAGGCAATAAATCCTTAATTTAGCAATTTCTTTGTGGTTGTTGTCATATCAGTTTTGACATATATAAGTCTATTCACTTGACAGATTTGCTGCCTTGTTTCATTTGTAAACACAAAAGTAATTATTATTTGCAATTTTAGTCATTTCAAAAAGAAATTAAAACCATGGCCAAGTCGATAACATGTTACTGTTTTCACTCCAGTCATTAAAGCACTGCTGTTACATCATCAGTTCAATTTACCAAATTTATCCTTATGTATTTTCGATTTGACAGTATTATCTTATATCATGACAATATTTATTTTCACAGCTTTTAAAAAGACAAGGAAAATTTTTTATGTATAGAACTTCAGTTTGTGCAGAGTTTCTATTCATTTTTTTCTATGTCAGATATGCTAAATAATGTAGCCTAGGGTCACTGTTATTGCTTGGAAACATGGGGTGTCCTAGCCAATTTGCTAAAATTGAACAATTACAGTTGAAATTTCCATTCACCCAATATTGTCAGTGCCTAAATAAGGTATGTTGACCACAGAAAAAAAAGAAGCAAAATAATTGATTAGATTGTGCATGTATCTCACCAATCGAGGCAAATTTTAGTTCTCAGAGGAACATTATTACATCACAAGGAAACCTGACTAAATCCCACTCAGCATATATGTTTTCTGATGAATGAAATCGACTTTACAAAGACGTTATTCATAAAATGCCTTTATGATTTAATGTCTGAGCCCACTTATGTGTAGTATGTCTGTCTTGAAATTCTCACTTGTGTGCATCAACTCAAAAAGACCTTTTTGAAGTTGTGAACCTGCAGCATGCGCATTTTCTGTTAACCGATCGAGTAAAATATATCACAAAGTGAGCCAAGCCTGTATGCAGGAGTCCTATTTTTCTGGTAGGGGTCTCTTTCAATCAGAGCCATTAATGCCATATTTCCTGTATAACTTGAAAGTTATTTTATTCAGATGGGATTTTACTGTACATGTTGTAACACTTAACTAATTATCTAAAATTGGGTACATGCTCCTGATACTTGGTAATTATAAATTTATACATAAGCCTGCCACTTCAGAATAAACTTATGTTGAAGTTGGACGCATATTGCTCTTGCCTCTACTTTGATCCAGCACATTGGACCTGATTAAGAGCTATCATTACACATGTACCTGTAAGTACAAGCTGGCATGGGTGGAACACGTAATTATTCAGTAGGAAAAGTTTATAAGTGCAGACTTTTTTAAAGTCATGAAGAAGCATGGCCTTAACAAACAATTGACCTAGGCAGTGTAAACTGAGAAGCCATCATGGCAGAACAGCAAAGTGTAATTTGGTCTCATGAGTTGAATTTTTTTTACTGCACACTATCTAAAGCAGTCTCAAGAGGCCACTGCCTTATCTGACTCTCCTAGCTACATGAAAATGCCCATACATCTTGTAATGTGGACAGAGCTTCTTTGGAAATTCTTTGGCAGATAACTAATAGTCCCAATTAAGTAGTGCATGGGTCTTTGTAGGTTGTTTGAAAGAGAAAAAAGTCATATACAACCAATATGACTTTTGTCAAATTACAGTTAGTTATTTGGCTATATTCAGGCAAGACTAGAATTAAATTAGTGGCATAGAAATAATATCATCTGCAGAAGGTTACATCACTGGTATATTTTTGAGGGAATTCCCAAAGAATGGCTTTGCTTGTACGATGAAGAGTATCTGACATGCCAGCTCAACCCAAGGGCATCTCCTCCCCCTTTTCATAATTAAAGCAAGTTTTAGTAAACAAATGTGTCAAAAAATGGTAAAGGGTTTATTGCAGAAAATGCTAATCTCATCTGAACGACAATTAGACAATATCATAATCATCTGGTGCTCCCATTTCTTGACACTGCCCCTCCTATCCACATGGGAAATGACTTTTTCAGAGATTTAAGACTGAAACCACTCGATTCAGTCTTGCACGTCAGGTTCTTTGGGACCTTCCTTTGGGTCTCTTGACTCCACTTTACCTTGAAAAAGGGTCTTTGTAGTGAGTACAATATTTTAAAATTAGACTTCACGGGGATTTCTGTATCCCCCTAAAAAGAGGCAATGTTTGTTAAAATCAGTGCAGGAAAGGAGGCTTTGAAAAAGGGCTTCCTGTGCAACATTTATAAAAGGGTTAGGATCTCATAACTTTTATTTATTTTGAAATCTTTTGGTAATGACAGTGTGAAGAAAATGTTGTTGCTGGGCTTTGTTATTTCATTGCAATGATATTTTGTAGAAATTTATAGCATCCAGCACACCAAAAGCTATCTGCATGACCAAAATTTATAAGGCATGTGCAAGCCTTTTCTTCTTGTGCTGAGTCAATTGAATTACAATGATTCTTTGCCTTTTACTTACAGATACAAGGAAATGTTATTTTCCCTCACAGCAATCTGAGAAGCATTTTTATTTTATTTTCTGCCTGTAATGCTCTTGTCCTGAAAAAGATAAATCATATCCATTCTGCAGAGAGGATAATAAAAGGGCCATTCACACTGGCATTTTTGACCACTTTTAACACCAGATTGCTGTCCGATCTTGGTTAACTTTTCAAATGTGAACAGACTACACAACCCTAACCACGGTCCAAATAAACCCAGATTAGGACTTGGAGTCAAATGCCATTTACTCCAAATTTTGGAACACATGTGCATAAGTGGGCATATTATCATATTTCACCAGTTATTTACAGTACTGTCATATGTCATGTTTTTCTTATTGAAATATTAGATTTTATTAATAAATTAAATATTTTACATGGCATAACAATCATTGCTGCGTGTACTCCCGCTCATTGTTCATGTCATCACTTTTTCTGAGAACAAAAGTGCACGTGCCTAACAGGAAGTTCAATTGATGAGAGGCAATTTTTGCCCTACGAAGTGTGAACGCAAGAAAAGTGGGTTTATTGGACCACGGTTCTGTTGGGGTTTATTTGACCATGGTTTATTTGCTAGTGTGAATTGCCCTGTAATGATTAATCTAGAAGTATTTAAGGCAATTTTCCCATTGTGATTAATTTTTTTTTCCAGTTAAATATTCAAACTTCATATCCTTACTTCATATCCTTACTTCATATCCTTATTTTACTTAGAATTCTTTTTTATTTTTCCAGTGCATTTTGACCATTTTCAAATACTCAGGGCAATCGGCAAGGGCAGTTTTGGGAAGGTAATGTATATTATCATCCTCTTCCTAGTAAAAATCAAAATGAAGCACTTCATCAAACAACAGATTTCATAAGGGACATGAGAATATACAGTGGAACCTAATATTAGTCTCTTGTCAATTTGATACATGCTGCATGTATTCCAGGCTTGTAGGAAAAGTGAACTTGGCTGGTAAAGCTTTTTTGAAAGGCACTGAGAATTGTAAGGACAAGTCAAGTTTGAAGTTTCACAACCCTGGAGTATAATGGCCAAATGCAATAAACATGTTTTTGCCCAATGGTGCTGCGTGTGTGTGTTGTCTTTCAATTGGATTAAACAATCCTTTTAGTGGAAGTAAAGAGTTGATCTACCAATTTCCTATTATATTGCTTTAGAATGCAGCCACAGTACCAGAGCTTACAGTTCAGGATGCTTCAAAATGAAGCTCTAGGTGTAATATATATGGTAATGCATCTTCTTCATGATTCTCCATTAGCAGAGACTGACATGTATCCAACACACTAACACACCACTGAATTATCATTATATCATCGTTAGTTTCTGTCAACAAAGCCAGTGTTGTATTGAAATCTTATGACCAAGAGTCCCATATTGTGCACAGGTGTTCAAACACACATGTACAACTGCATAACTTTATGATATGCCTACTGGTTTATCATCCAGACACTTACTTAGCACATGCTAGAAAAGGTAACTGGGAACACATATCTTCTCTGTCTTCTGGCTAAGGTGTATACCTGCACCTGTAAAAATGGATACTCTTTCAAGAGCAAGTGCTTCAAAACTGAAAAAAAACACTCTTGATGCCCTTGTATTAACATGTATATGTTCACACACACACACACACACACACACACACACACACACACACACACATAGCTGATATCACACACCCACACTGTAATAAGGCTGACATTTGATGTTGTCTCAGTTAATCTTTGTGGAATTTTGAACAGAAGCCTGTAATGTGAAGTTAAGGTTGAGGCTTTTCACTGAAATGTCAGATGAAGCATACTAGACAGGACATTGATTTAAGGTAGACTGGACCTTCACTGCTGACACCAACTCTTTGTCCTAGTCTGTCTGATCATGATAGATATTCCCATTGTATTTTCTGGAACAGAATCTCCATTAAGCCTGGACAGAGTGGTATTGAAAGCTTGTAAAATTGGAATCCCGGACAGATGCTTCTTCAGATATATAGATAAACAGTTGTGGAAAGTGGCTTGTCCTCCCCATCACCTTTATACAGCAGTGTATCATTGATGTAAATGTATACATGAGCTCTGATTGTAAACCTGCATCAACAAGCCTGTAAAGTTTCTGTCCATGGGTTGTTACAATTAAAAAATCACTCCTATGATTAGGCTTACAGTATCATACACTATTAGACATTTTACTATGTTCTATAGATATCATCTTGTAAAGCTTCTTCTTTGAATTTTTTTTTTGTTTTTTTTTTTTTGGGGGGGGGGGAGATAGATTGCTGATAATGGTGACTATATCATTACTCCTACAGCACATCTTCTCTCACATTAGGGAGAGGAAGTGCTTGGAGAAGACTGTCAGCACTTTTACAAGTAAAATTAAGGTATTCATTGGTTTCAGGTAGCAGACTTCTCATACTTACTCAGAAACCATATATCCTATAAGTGAAATGAATTTTTATAAAATTCCATGATACAAAGGCATGCTACACTTTGTTGTCTTGATACCATTACTACTTCTCTAGATACCCTCTGGACCAAAGATTTACAGTTGTAATGATAACTGGAAAACATGACAGAAAATCATGAATGAATTAGTTTAGAAACTAAATTCTAAATTCTCTGTTTATGCAGCAAATAATATGATTTAGCATGTTGAAACTTATGAGATTTCTTTATTGAAAATTTGACTTGATTACAAATTTTTTGTTATGTATTACAGGTGTGTATTGTACAGAAGAAAAACACCAGGAAATTGTATGCAATGAAGTACATGAACAAAATGATGTGCATAGAGAAGGATGCTGTAAGAAACGTGTTCAGGGAACAAGAAATACTACAAACTGTGGATCACCCATTTTTGGTCAACCTTTGGTTCAGCTTTCAGGATGAAGAAGACATGTGCATGGTTGTGGACTTATTGTTAGGGGGAGATCTTCGCTATCATATGCTGCAAAATGTCAGCTTTGATGAAAGCTGTGTGAAGTTGTACATCTGTGAGATTGCATTAGCCCTTGAGTATTTGCAAAGTAAGGGCATTATTCACAGGTAAGTGGAAAAACCAACAAAAGGGCAAAGGTTCTATAAAACTAATTGGGAATCTTCTTTGAGCAAGGGCTCTTCAAACAACATTTACACTAGATAAATGTGCCGGCTGTTATTGGTATACACATATATCTTGATAATATACTATACTATCTATCTATTGCTATTCTATACTGCTGAAGCAGTCTCTACTTAATTAGATTTTGTTTGAAAACAAATTTAGCATCATGCAGTATATCTACTCTGTTGGTCTGTTCAAACTAGGGCTTCTTTAGATTGCCTGCCCATGCCATGACTACCTAAGGATGTCTGTTCATACAAAGATTCTGCCAGCAGTTTTGATATTTGCTGTGTAGCAGTTTTCTTATCATATTTTATCTGCTAGTCCTGTTATTATTAGCCTTTCATTTAAAGCTCATTTGTACTTAAAAGTTACCTAGTAATACTTTTTCTGTCTTTAACGTATATAACAAGGAGCCAATTTATACATATTTTCCAAGGCGTCAGCAAGTGTCTCGATTTGTTTTAACAAGAAAATGCATAGCTTCCAAATACCTATCAGTCAAGCAGGCCTGTTGCAGTTTTCTTCTGCTTTTTAAAAATTCTGTAATTTTTTTTTTTTTTTTTGAAAAAAAAGCTTCCCAATCAGCTGTAGATTAGTGACAGAACAGCTATAAACTAACATATACTAATAGTATTATTGTATTGAACTGAAGCACTTGTTGACTTCTATTTTCTTTAGGTTCTTCTGCAACAGATTTTGAACAATCCTTATATAGTGAAATGTCTACAACAAAACATACTGTATTTTGCTATGTAGGATAATATGTTGATATGTGATGTATAAGCCTTATGTTAAATATACATTCTAGTGATCAGGTCGAAATATATAAACTTTTTTTTGCTTTTTTAGGGATATTAAACCAGATAATATTCTACTAGATGAAGCAGGTGAGTATAGATACTGGTATATTATTAGCAGTTAGCCAGCACTTGTCAGGAAGTGAATTTTTATGTACAAGATTTATCAATATGTTAACTTAGCTCTCTTCATCTATATGCATGTTCACAAACACACAGAGAGAAAAAGAGAGAGAGAGAGAAAGAGAGAGTTATTGAAACCCTGTGCAGTACTATTTTCCACATCACTTACATCAACACTATCTATAAAAATAAAACCAATGTGTCAAAGTTGTTAAACAGAAAATATGAAAAGATCATCTAGTACTGGAATTGTCTTTTCTATTTGTTTAGTTACTTAATGCTGTATAAGTACAGCTATGTTCAATTCTATATCGTGCAGTATTAGATTGTACATTTCCTCATTGTAGGTATTGTAAGTATAAGATTGTTGATTTCTAGGTATTGTAAGTATAAGATTGTTGATTTCTAGGTATTGTAAGTATAAGATTGTTGATTTCATGTATATTTTATCATGTTGTTGTATCATTATGTGTCATTTAAAACAATTAAAAAATGGAGCTGCATTGAGGCTTAAAAACACTTACTGTATGTGTATTTTCAAGTATGCAGCCAGCATTATACAGTCTATAACATAAGTTGTAACTTCAGATGAGAATGCCTTTTCCTTAGTAAATGTCAGTTTACAGACTTTCAATAAGGTCAAGCTTTTAAGTTAAAGATGAGTTTGTAACAGTAAACGAGGATTTCCCCCCACTTGCTAATTTCCAATAGCCATGAAAAGTTCAGTGGATTTTAAACCTCCCCTCATCAAAATGCCATTCAATCTGTTCCTTGGAGGACAACCTTTGAATGACACTAAAATTACATCAGAAGAACATATCAATTGTCCAGTTATTGAAAAGTCTAAGTTGCATGAGAATCTCTACGTAATCCTGCTCTTTTCACTGAAGTCTAGTGTGTGGCACTGTATTGCATGCTTAATTTAACTGGCCATCTGATGGCACAGGTTTGCTATATTTACAGTCTGAAGTCTTTCTTGTCTGAACTCATTTTGAGTCTCCTTGGAAGCATGTGATGTCTGTTTTGATAAAAAATATTGGATTCCTATTAAGAGCTGTGCTTAAATGTACCACTTAAAGGTTAGAAATTACTTATCTATGGAAAAGGTCTTTGTGGGGCTCTTTCAATCTGTTTCAATATCATAATCAATAGTAACTCACTAAAAATTATGTTAAACAGGGATATATCCAGCTTCCTCTCTCTTCCTGAATTCTGTATACAATGAAGTAAGGGCAATGCTTGACTATGACTCCGTTCACATGAAAAATCTATTTTCTAAAAATCTATTTTCTATTCGCGGTATCTTGTGATCACTCCGAGAATTAATTACAGCTTTGGAAGTAACTGGCTCGCGCTGCCAGTAATTATGCCGCGGGGTATTCAGGGCACAGACCGTGATCACAAGATACCGCGAATAGAAAATAGATTTTTAGAAAATAGATTTTTCATGTGAACGTAGCCTTTGTGTGTGTGTGTGTGTGTGTGTGTGTGTGTGTGTGTGTGTTAGCAGTACCTGCTAAAATTTCTTTGTCATGTTTCCCAATATTGCAAGAGATAACGTACAAAAATGCCTGTACAGTAAGGTCATTGGGGTGTACTTCTATGTTCTGAAGGTTCGCTATTCCCAGATATGTGTACAGGTATTTATAGAGCACAAAGATGGCAAACAAAGTATAGTAATTAAATGGCCAGTGGGTACTTATGTTGTAAAAGTCGCAGTGTTCTTCACGAAAAGCAGTAGTTGATATTCTCATTGCGCTCCATAGCATAGGAGGATGTGTTACATGTTATATTGCGCTATAAAGTTTCACTCTTAGTTGTTATTATAAGGAATTACTGAAGCATGAAATCTGCAAAGATCAGAAAAAATGCAAATATTAAAGAGCCTTAAAAATAAGTTTCTTTGACATGGAGGTCAGTGCTCGCCCTGATTATTTAACTATGTAATGCAGTTATCCCACCAACTTTTTAGGAATATCGAACCTTCGGAATAGTGAACATTTGGATAGTGAACCTTTTTTCTTCAGAATAGCTAACCTTCAGAATACTGGTGAATTTTAGATCAAGGCTCCATTAGTTAATAGAATTGTGAATCTTTGGATTAGGGAACCTTTGGAACATACAGCTGACCCTGGGCATTGTGTAATTACCAGTAGATTTTATTGTTAACATCATTTTGTTAGATTAAATTAGGGGATATAGTCACACGTTTTCTAGCTATTCAATTAAAAAAGCATCAAACCACATTATCTGATTGTGGTACATAAATGTTCTACTCTGAGAGTGGCATGCACATGGTTTCAATCAAATGTCAGCATATATTTTAAAAAACAATACAGAGTTATATATAATCTACAATATTCTGATATTGATTTGTGTTAATGTGAGATGGAATTACATTTGTTTGTCAGGTAAGAGAGTTACATGAGAGAATTTGAAAAAAAAATGTGCAAAAATAAAAGAAGTTGGTGTTTATGCCAGGAATTACATTTGGGTGGCTTGATTATTTTATTTTTATTAAGTGCTACTTATACCTAAAGTATGTTAGAGACTCTTCTTTATCATTCCAGGCCATGTCCACCTTACAGACTTCAATGTGGCCACAGTTCTGTTGGACGGGCAGTTAGCCACTTCAATGTCAGGGACCAAGCCTTATATGGGTAAAAATAAATTAAATATGATGGCTAATTTTGCTACAAAATATGTTTGTTTATAATAAGACCAATCCTATGTTCAGATGCTTTAAGGTGACAGTGTGTCAAACACTTCATCTAAACAATGAGATATCATTTAAAAGTAAATATTGCTTAAATGCTTTTAAGTAACTAGTGTCCGATGAGAAAGGGACAAATTTTTTATTCCCCCTTCTGCTTTGCACATGTTGGTTGGTCAGTCCATAAATCAGTTGATCTGTCAGTGTGTCCTCTATCATTTGGTTCATTGCCAGACCTTGTCCACCAATAAATCGAGAACAACTTGGTCTATTGGCCTATTATTCATTCCCACAAGAATAGCTGGTTGTAATTTGCTTGATCAATATACTTTCTCTCTCTTTTTCACATTTTTTAATATTTTTAGGTACTAAATTTCTTCTTTTGCTATTAAGAATGGCAAAATGGTGTCCATATCAGTGAAGTGCCTAATACTTTTGTTTTGAAATAATTATAGTGATAGTGAATGCCTCTTCAGTTTGCACTGTCTGAAATTTTTCTTTGCGATGATGTTTCATGTATTTCTGTGGACCAAAGGCTATACTTCTACTACTACTACTACCTGTAGTATTACACTTGTCTTGATAGCTGAATGTCATAAAGATTTTCTTAGGATCTTCAATTTCCCATTGGGGCTAGATATGTATCTCATAAAATCAATGAAAGGCTGTCAAATCCAAATGTCAGTTTTATTTTTAATAAGAGAAAATAGGAAATATGAGAAGAGGATATAAACTGATTACTAAGGATAAAGAATTCCCAAACAGAGGCTATATAAATCGTGAAAAATGATAGATGAGCATAATTATATACTAAAAAACACTTAAGGAAAAATGAAAGGTGTCAATTAAGTTAAAGAAAACTTTGAACAAATCTATGTATTTTAAACTAAATATTTTACTTATTGCTAATTTACAAAGTGAAATTATTATGTATCTTTTATAAAAATCACTAGGGGAGCAAATTATTTCCAATTGCTTCACTTCTATTATCTATACATATTTCAACTCTTGTAGCTCCTGAGGTATTCAGCTGTTCAGTAGATGAATGCAATGGTTATTCCTACCCAGTAGATTGGTGGTCACTGGGAATCATGGCCTATGAGATTCTTAGAGGAAAAGTAAGTTTTAAAAAATACAGGCTAAGAGAGGCTCTCTGACCTTTGTTGAAGCCTTTTGCATTCACTTGGTTTCAGTTAAATGTATTAAAAGGTTACCTTAAAATGTATGTGGACATTTGGAATTATGGAATTTATTAAAGGAATGATTATGAAGGATTAGAAAATTATTTAAGGTGCTATGAAACTTGGTGAAGTGAATTTCCCTTGCACTGTATCTTAAACCTGTAAGGATGCTGTTTTTATTGGGTCACACTCCTGATTAAATGAGGACTTTTATTATTTTTATTATTAAGAAATGAAAATTAATGAATTTCTCATCCAAAGTTTAAAGGGATAATAACTCTTCGTTTCGACCAAAAAATGAATTTTCCTGGAGTAAACAACAATTTTCCCATACTAACCAATGGTTAATGAATCCATTTTTACATTCAAAGTTAGTCCCTGTTTTTTTTTAAAAAAGTTTGGTTTTTTGTTAAAATCTCTTAAGAGATTTTAACAGAGTATAACCATCAATAGAGGTCACGTGGTCTTAAGAAAAGCTCAGATATCAGAATAATAGCTATAACTGCCGTGTTTGTGGTAAAACAGAATATATTGTATTTCTTTGAGTTTTTCACAATGTTTTTAATATGAAATATAGATCTCATATGAAGAGTTATTATCCCTTTAAGATGTTAACATTTAGTGACATTTTGCAAAAGATACATATTGTGTGTAACTTGCTGAAGGTTTTTAAGAGAAAAGACTCACAGCTCTACTGTCATCAAGCCCTTTACCTGTTTTTGCAACTTTTGATTTTTTTTTTATTTTATTTTATTTATTTATTTATTTATTTTTTTTTGATAGAGACCATTTGAGATCCATGTTAACACACCAGTGCCAGATGTTCTGCTGATGTTTGCCTCCCAGAAAGTGCATTTTTCTTCCACAATATCAGATGGAATGAAAGATCTCTTACAAAAGGTAAGAGAAAAGTAGAAAAAATAGATGTAGCCAGAAATAGAGAAACTGATTTCATAAGGAATTTTTTTTCTGTAAGAGGTCCAGACATGTTGCTTGATCTCCATGAACAGCTTGCTTAGAAAGATTTAAATTAGGAAAAGCACTGGCTTTGTTGGCTCAACAAGAATGTGTTGGCATTAAGCCTAGTAATTTTGTGTTTGCAGATTTTTAAGTGCACACAACTGGGACACTCAAAAAACAAAATGTAATCTGATTTTTAATTGTTTTATGCTGACAATACTAAAATCAATTGTAATCACACCTAATATAAAAAAAATTATGGACTCTAATATGAGCCTGTTCATCATGCCTGTCATCAATGAAGAGGCACAACTAACGCATTGTGCTTGATTTACCTCCCAGTGTCTTGTTATATGAGATGTTTTCCCTTAAATTGGTCCTTTTTGAATGTTCTGAAATGTATGTATAATTAGCTGAACTTCTGAAAATGTTACTTCTCTTGTAGCTTTTATCAGTGGACCCAAGGAGTAGGATGTGTAAACTGCAACATATGGAAAACCATGTATATATGGCAGATGTGGATTTTTCCAAGGTGCTAAGATGTGAGGTTAAACCCAGTTTCATTCCAGCAGTAAGTAAATTAGAGGCCATTTAGTAAATGACTGTTAACCTGAACTCTCAACAAATTGGTACTACCAATTATTGTTTAAAATTATTTTCTGATTGGAATAATATGTTCCATCAAGCAAGGGAATTTAGTGATTTGAGCAAATGATATGGCATAGAAGTCCCTATAATGAGCTCCAATTTCACAATAGAGCTCTAATAGTTACCTGCTCCTCACATGATTTTATACATTTTATTTTTCACATGCAACAAAGACAAAACTATTTAGTAACAGCTCTTTTTCTTTTAGATCACCCATGCCCTAGAATCATTATTGATCCAAGTCAGTTTTCATGAACAGCAAGAAGTTATTGCTGTAGCATTTTGAAGACACTTGTGTAGCTCATCCATCACTGTACATGGTTATGAATACTACATTCATGAGCCTAGAAAAAAATTGTTGACCTTTTCTTTTAGACATTTCAGTAATTTGATTTTAGGTAGTATTTATGTGTTAAGCAATATTTTCTGCAAAAGATGGTAATCATTAAGACAGTGTATAAAATACTTTTTATTTATATTTTTCAGAAAGACCACCTGAATTGTGATCCCACTTTTGAATTAGAAGAAATGATCATAGAAGCAAAACCACTACATAAAAAGAAAAAGAGATTGGCCAAGACAGCATCCACTAAAAGCAATCAGACATCTCAAGGGGTAAAGAATTTCATTGAATATGTGATATTATTTTAACTGGGCACTTGGTGTGTGGATGTTCAAATGATAATTATAGTGATCTTTCAAGATGAATTCAGTTCCCAAATTAGCTTTTTGCTGAACTTAATGCTTTTCTAAGGTGCTTCCATGTATAAAGGTAATACATAATATGCTTAATTCTTTTTGGACACATACCGTAATTACAAAATGCTCATTTGTGACAATTTTAGGATGTAGACCCTATGCAGTTATGTCTGGAGAATCTTGAAAGAGAATTCAAGCCATTTAATAGAGAAAAGTAAGTTTGCCTAAAAATTTAAAGGGAGTATTTTATTATTACAGTGAAGATCCATCATATTTATTGCAAATTTTCAAAAATTTAATGATATAATTTACTGATATTTTTGTTGGCAGTACCTGTCCACCTTGGTCAAGGGTGTGGAGTATGACCACTGGTCAAAGCCGGGTATCATAACCTGGGGTTGTGCAGTCACACATTGAATGGCATACTTATTTGCTTTTCTTTCTTGTAGGGCAAAGTTAATGCACAATGAAGCTGTGAGTGGCGAAGTTGAGCAAACTGGCATCGGCAGCTGATTGTGGCAGGGGTTTAGGAACAGAGCTGCTACTGGGTAGAAATAAAGTGGGGTTTTTTTTTAAGACTGTGCCCTGACTTGAACAGCATGGAAAGTTGCATAAGAATTGGTGTAAAAAAAAGGACTGAAATCAGAAAAGTATGCCCTTTTTAAGTTTGGAGTATGCCCTTTTTAAGTTTTCTACAAGAGTTGAGATGTGAGGGTTTAGCTTTAAAGTTGGGACATGATGTTGGTGGGCAGTTTTGCTAGGTGTAGAACTAATGCAGCTAGAATTTATTTACAGCATAAACAGAAGAAAAATTATGCCAGTGCACTGCTGTCAAACGAATTGAAATGTGCCTGTCTCTTTCAAGTGAATTGTAATAAAAATGGCATTTGTGAAGACTTATTGGTGAAGAAGGCTTTATGACTATCCTGCTTCAGTTCATCCAGATGACTACCACCAAGTAGGACTCTCACTGTTGATTGCTATATGCACAGCTGCACACTGCTGGATGAACTTAATGTCAGAGTTAAATGACAATTAAGTTATGGCTCATAGTGAGATTAAATTTTCTCTCTATGGAGAAAGAATACACTTGTTAAGATTTTCAACTGGGTTAGATATCCACATCATAGCTCATGATAACTGTTAAGTTAAGATTACTGTCTGTGTAATGCATTTGTAAAACAAATCTGGGACCAGTTTAAGTTTTAGCTCTACAGACCAGATGCTAATCTGTATTTATTGTAGACACAATGTAAAGGAGGATACTGTATATGTAAACACCAGTGCAGATTAAAAACCATGTTATGTCAGGTCAATTCTTTATTGACATGTACTTAATATAATGCAGGACAATCATACTAATCACAAAGTTATGGCTCTTGTCAGATGGTAATTTGCTACTATCAACACTTAACTGAAAACTTGAAGTGGAATTTATTTACAAAAAGAAGAACTGACCGAAGAAGATTCTGCTGTCTTTGTAAAATACCTCAAAGGCTGATGTCATGTTCCACTTTTTGATTGTATGTGATGGAATCAAGGTCACATACCTTTCATAGACTTTTTATTCAAGTGAAAATTGTCATAGGTAGATTTTTCCACGAAGAAGTTAAAATTGTATACCCCCAGTAGTATCATTTTACAGGATTTCTTTTAGTTTTTTTATTAGTTCATAGCATCTGTATGCTAATTATTGGTCCTTAAAAAGCACATTGTGTAATTTTTATTAGCACATATTTGGAATATTTGATCATGGAAGGGGTTAATTTAAAGAAACTTACATATGTAGACTATTGTTTGAGGGTGCTGAGGGTAGGAGTGATGAGACAGTTGCCTACTGCTTATAGAAGAATATAATGTTTTCATTTAACTAGAAAAAATATGTGATACTGCTTAAAGATTTTAGTCCTAAGTGAATTTGCTCCAAGTACACTGTATAACTATTTATTATTGTGGTGCATTATATTGTTTGTAAATATGTATTTGAAATATATAAATATATGTTGTAGATATGGTGCTCAATATTATATGTGTAATGGTATCAACTGCTTATGAAACGCTTTTATTATTCGTTAATTTCAAAAGTTAAATTTTGTATTAATTTTTTTTGTGTGTGAGAAATTAAAAGGTTTATGACCTTGTTGTGATTGAATGGATGGTTAACTGTTACAAGATTTTAATTATTTTGATTAACTGTCTTGAAACAAGAAATGTAGTTTTTCAGAGCGTTAATGCCGTAAATTTATAATCATGGTTTATAAGTTACAATGGTAGTAGCTAGTAGGTGGACTAAACACGCTTGAGTGTTATCATTGGTGAGTGAAACTTAAACCCACATAAAACAAATTGAAAATATGTACCATACTAGTCAACCATAAATCAAAAAAGAATAATATTCAATCAATGCCGGTCATGTATTTTTAATTTATTAATTTTTTTTTAAAGATGTAGTACCTTCATTATGACATACATGTGACAGTTTTGTTAAGTTTGTGAAAAAATACAAAAGTGATTTTTTATGGTAGACTAGTGTGTTATATTGGAAGTCTTTTTTTTTATTATTATTAACTGATCAAGGTGACACCTCAAGTGGGGCAGTAGAGGATAACCAGATGAAGAAATACTTTTTACTAAGTAAGGTTTTATTGTTTTGTGAATTTGAGGTTCTCTTAAAGGCAAAAGGAGTAAATTATTGCCTCAAGAAACTCCATGACAGGTATTTTTTGTGCTATTATTCAGGTTGCTGTGATGCTCAGTGTTAGCTATACTTTTCTCCATCATTTAAAACTCTGTGTTAAATGGTGCTTTCAAAAATGTTTTTCATGTTTTACAAAATTTACCACGTTTTTACATAATTTGCCCTTATACCTTTAAGAAAGCTGTTAATTACATAATCAATAAAACCTGTCACAAATTTTTGAAAAATATTACTAGTGCTTTGTCTAATAAGAAATAAATTTTATTTATAAAAGTTGAACTTTTACTTCTATAATGTGGAATTTTTTCTGTCACAACAAAAAGACCCAAGTAAGCGGGTAGGGAACCAGCATGAGAAGATTTGGCTAACCATACATACCGCTTGGGCTATGTCCCTTAACATCCCCTACATTGTCACTCCCCCACTCCCTTCATGTGAGAAAGTAACAATCTGAGGTATTGAAAAGTTGGCCCCACCAAAATTCTTATAAAAAATGGTGATGTTTTTTTAAACTATAACTGATGTCTTGCCTTTGAGACTTAGAAAGGCTTTGTTTGCTATTATTTGCATCAAAAAATTGTTAATTTGTTTTATGAGTATTTTTACCAAGCAGGAAAAATGAAAACGCACATTCTGACCTTTGGACTCCACACCTGAACAGGGGGCGTCTCGATAGTCCGAAGGTTCATTGGTCCGAAAAGCGGTAACATTTTTATCGATTTTTTTAATCAAGGGTTCATTGGTCCGAATGTTCTATAGTGAACATTCGGACTATTGAACCTTCGGACTATCGCTACGGCCCCCCTGAACACGCTAATATTTACTATCATCACAGTTGTCAACATCAGAACAAAATGTTTAAGTAGATTGTTCGCATTTTACCTGAATAGAAATGGAAATGAGATTTAGAAAGACCTATGAAGATACTTTTTTCTAAATTCCATTTACTTTAATTCCATAGATATTGTTTGTTAAAACATACTGTAGCAAAAATAAGTTTTCTTAAAAATATGTATAATTTTCCATTAATCATCAAATTTTATATTGTCCGTAAAGCAAGATGTATAAACATGTTTTCGCGTTCTAAATTATAAGGCCTAGCAGGCCTAGAATTTTAAAATTCAATCCCGTCTTGCAAGTGCCCGTTAGGCAGTGGCGCCTCCTAGAACCCACAGAATTCTGGGACATCCGGAAAGATAGCGATCGATAGTCACGAAGCTCTCTCCGTAGCATACGGACTGTCCTAAGGTAGGTTTATTTCTGCTTTAAAAAGTAACCCCCCCAAAATATTATAAGATAAATGGTTTATATTTTTCTTTTTAGTGTACACTCAGTACCACATAAGATTTGAAGATCGTTTCTGCAAACTAGCTGCTGTTGACATGTTGTCAAGTTGTTTTTTCGAAGCCGACCAATAACAAAGTGGTCATAAACTAACCAGTGCATTGCTTTCGCGTTCAACGCATATATTACCAGTAGTGATAACACTGCTGTAGTTTATACCTTTGTAATAAACGTATTGGGCATTTTGGGTAGCTCATGTAAATAATATCATAATAAGGTATGTGACGAATGTCGTTGTGTTACGCCGTTCACTGTTTTAGTCACACCTGGCTTGAGGTTTTAAGGTACGTATGTTTCCGCGTTTGAAAATGCCCTAAAGTAATATTTTCTATGTCTACACATCCTGCAAATCTTCTGATCTTTCCCAATTCAGACCCTAAAAACGATTAAACCCCCTCAAATCGAAGTACCTGATGTGAATTCATTTGTAGAGGCCGATTTCTAGACCCGACTAGCTGAAATGTAGACATGGCGGTATAAATGTCTAGGCAGAATGTTGAAACAATTATTTAATTAGAAACTACATAAAACATTGGATCCAAGTGTAGGCATGGGCCCAGCAGTAATTTGTAAATAAGGTATTTTTTCTTCTGAATGTAAACAGATGAAAGATCATAATAGATTATTGTACAAGCTGTAAGAATGTTTTGTCTCTTGCACATTAGTATTTTATTCCACTAAACTTTGTGTTTTTGGTTTAAAATTTATCCGAAAGATTGTGATTCAAATAAATCAAGAATTCCTTACACTTTTCTATACAGTTGTCACATGTGGCTTTAATATATCCAAAACTGTTATGATCATGTGGCTACCCATGTCATTGTTATAGCTATTGTCTTCCAATTTTATTTAACACCATAACTAGAAATGGTATATTTTAGTTTTACTTTGATTTCACTTGGCAACAGGGCAAGTTGAGTTAAAAAAAATTCCCATGGTTGGGTTATTTTCATAGAAGTTATTGACTCCTAATTTATTTGATGTTTAGTATATTTTTACATATGACATTTGCCCTGGGCATCAGTGCCAAACCACACTTTATGTTTTAAATTTACAACTGGGCTTTATTTGGTGAGAAGGCAGGTTGAATTAAAAGATAAGCATAAGTACAGTTTGTTACCATGTTTGCACTTGTGTAAAAAAAAGTCTAGTACAAAAGAAAAAGCCATGCTAATAAGCATGGTATAAAGCACAAACTTCCAATTTCTATTTTGCTTCTAAAGGCATCATATTATTGGCCCTCAACATATCTTGTTGGGAATGGTTGTATCATTCTAACTAAATATATTGGTAGTGAATTTGTATTTAATATCTTTTATGGGAAATGATGAGCATCGTACTAATTATTTGTTTTACTTATTGGTTTTATATTTAAAAAATAGAAGAATGAAGCTTAAATAGCAAAGATTACAGCTAGCACGAAAATTCATGCGTTAGCACTCCTATTAACGGTTCTGATATGTATTGGCGGTGCTAAGGTTATAGCCAATGCTTTAATATTGAGAAAATTGAAAACTTGTTCCAACTTCATATTTGACTGCATTGTTCCTATGTCTTGAATTAGCACTTTCAGAATATTTATGATGCCATTGCTTTTTACATTAGCTTTTGTTGTTTGGAATGATACAGTGGTTGGGTTTAACTGGTCATTTAGTAAATCATGGTTTAAACGAAATTACTTTTAAAGTCGTAAGAACTGTTGGTTACAGTGTTGTATTAAACATCCCTTAATCAAAAACCTTATAAATAGTGATTAGAGAGATTTGCTGAAGGAGTTGAAATATTAAATGCAGATCAATGCACATTAAGAAAACATCCTTCTCCCAGAACCATATGTTGCCGTTTCTACATCCCTCACTTTCTTATGTATTTGTATTAAGTTCACATAAAACCTTTGATGTGAAATAATTTGTTTTACACATATTGGTGTTTTCACTATTTTGTGAAAAGTGATTGTTACTGGAATATAGCCAAATAGGTTTAAGTCATTTACATTGAGCCATAATAACAGCTGTAAAAGAGACTGAGTAATAATTTAAATGGAAACAACAATCTGAATAATAATTTAAATGGAAATAACAATAATTTTTATCTGAAATGTAGTAAAAGTGTTGAAATAAAGTCTACTATAAGTAAAAATAAAGCTACCCTAAAAGTTTAAAATAAGTGACATGGAGCACGTAGCATGCTCTAGGTATGCATGTTAGGTCAGATTGATTATCTTTAATAAATTTGCATTTGGCCTCAATTCAAGCTATAAGATAAAGTTCAACACTTAGTTTATGAAAAGAGTTATGTCTTATGGAATCATATAAACTTAAAGATGAAGTAAAATGCATATATAATTACTCATATCTCAATGTCTGACAAGGGAAGGTTAACTTGCAAACTGGGAGTGCAATGAGTCTGCAGCGTTTGCCGCTGGTCCTATGCCTGCAGTCCGTAAGATTTTGTTTGGACCTAGAGATTTTTCAGGATGTGTGAATTTAGTGGTCCGACATGTCCATTAAATATTTTCTACAAGTTTTCTAAAGAGCTTTAGATTTGATTAATTTTTTTTCAGAAATGTAACTGTTACATGATGATTCAAAATTTTTAAAAAAAGTGTTTGAAATCAAAATCAAGGTCTTGTTATGTTAATGCAGTGAGATTTTTATTTGAGCCTGTACTTTGGACCAGTAGATTTTAGGAAAGGGATGGTCTGTATGGCCAGTAAGCTGAAAATGGCACAGACTGCATTGAGTTGGTAGATGAGTCCCTGACATTTTTTCTCTTTTTGTATTTAATATTAGGATGACAAGAGGTACATTACAGTAAAAAATTCATAAAAAGGCTTGGTAACTGTACACCAACTAAAATGGGGATATTCAATAGATCAGACCATACTTATTAAGCACATTTGTAATTATCAGAAAGCCAAGATGTGTAGTTCCTTTTTGTAGGTATTGTTTGAGTGTATTTCTTGCCTTGCATTCAAAGAGTCAAAATCCCAGAGCGCCTCTACCTACTTGATGTACTTTAGGTTTGGGAGATCACTCCTTGTGTCCAAGTTTGCTATATATGTTTGCAGTGAAGATGGGTTGGCAGTGGTATAGTGCAGGGTATCAGGCCGTGACAGTGTTCACTGCTCCCATTTCATGACAGAATATTTATCAATTATGTGAAAAACCTAACATATGTCTGGTTAAGAACTAGTTTAGACTTGGATTTTTTGTGTGAATTTTAAACAGAGTAATGCATATCATGCAGAACATGTTCAAGGAAATGTATTGACATTAAAACAGCCCAAAGCACACTAAAGGTTATTTATGCATAAAAATAAAAGGAAACATATCGTGGATCTTATATATATATTTTCCTTTTTTTTTTTCAGTGAAAAAGGGACATGCCGTACTAAAAAGAAAGGGCTAGAGTACTGCTTTGTGTAACAACCTTACTTGCAAAGTGACTTATACCCAAAAAGGAATTTAAGAAGAAAAAAACAGCTGCACAATGCAGAATTGTCATCTATTTTTGGCCTGTATTATACTTGGGTTTGTCCACTCTTCGCCTGTGAATGACAATGGGTTTTCTGAATTGCTGAAACAACACCGAGAAGGTACCAACATTTTGGATGTCACGATGCCTGGAATCACGCCAAAAGTGGTAAGTTGAATTAAGAAGGAAAATATATGAATGGGTGAAAAACAGAGTAAACCTGAATATCTTCCATGATATTTAGGCTATGAGCAAAGATAAGAAGATCCATGCAACAACCACAAAGTAAAAGTGATTGTTTTTATTCTGCCACATTCTAAATTATGAATTGACTCTTTGATTCATAATTCACATCTTGTCATGGATTTGGTTAAAAAAGATATGACTTGATTTAGCATGATGGCAAGTGGTCCACAGCAAAATTGTATAATAGCATAGCAATTAATGTTAAGAATGCATTTTCTGTTCACAGGAAGACTACTATGTATGTACGTCTGTGCCAGTACCGACTGGAGAAAATTATATAGGTACGTTTTTAATATATTGCTACAGTAGGAGAAGGGGGAATTGGATATTAAAGAGAATAAGCACCTTTCCAGTATAACTAGAGAGAATTATCACTCTTAGCTATAATTGCATTCTGTCATGTTATCAACATGTGTGTCTAGAATGTTTTCTTTAAAGGGATAATAACTCTTCGTTTTGGCCAAAAAAATGAATTTTCCTGGAGTAAACAACATTTTCCTGTACTAACCGATGGTTAGTGAATCCATTTTTACATTCAAAGTTAGTGCCTTGTTTTTTTCTTAACAGTTTGTTTTTTTGTTATAATCTCTTAAGAGATTATAACAGAGTATAGCCATCAATAGAGGTCAAGTGGTCTAAAGACAAGCTCAGATATCAGAATAATAGCTATAACTGTCGTTTCTTGTACAACAGAATATATTATATTTCTGTGAGTTGTTCACAATGTATTTTATTGTGAAATATAGATCTCATACAAAGAGTTATTATCCCTTTAAATGATCTGATTCTCATATTGTTATGTAGAATCAAATATGAACATTGCTTTGATTTGGAATATGATCATTCACAAAATTAATTTTTGGGCAAATGAAAGTCACTGTTATGCTTGAGTATAGTAAATATTGTATATTTAAAATGTGCTTTACAAAGTCAGATATCAACAATCATTTCTGATATAAAAAAAAAAAACATGTCATAGTAGAAATTCTTAATGACATTTTTCCTATTTCTTTTCTCTATTTCAGTCCAATTTGAGCCTCTGGCCTCAGGAGATATGGCCCATCACATGTTAATGTTTGGCTGTGAGCAGCCAGCTGAAAACAGGAAATCTTGGTAAGTTTTCCTGTGAACTGTCTTCCATTGATCTTATTTTGAGTCAGTTTTTAGCTTTCACAGATTTACTTTGTGTGTTGGTAGTGGTAATAAAAATGTATACTTTAATGCTTTCATTTTTTAGGTCAGTAATTGGGGCCTTTATGGTATTTGTTTTATCAGTGGTTTTGATTACCTTTATCTTATTGATCAAATGTTTTGCTATATATTGTATAATAAACGTGTGGTTGTAACCATTTTGGGATATGTTTAAATGTACAAAAATTTAAACCATTAATAGGTATATAAGACATTAACAAAATTTGTATCCATTCTTCTAGCTGAATTGTTCTAATATTTAAGTTAAGTGTCATGCAGTAATTTTCAAGGCAGTGGTATTATTCTTGAAGTGAGTGGGTGTATCCATGCTTTTAAAGGGTCATTTTTCTCTCTCTCCTGGGTGATGTATTGTATAGTTTGATTAACATTGAGAGCATTAAGCACCATAGAAACTATTATTAATGATTGAAGACTATTGCAAAATGAGGCATCATCATTTAAGTACATTTATTGAATTATTGTGGCAATAATACTCAGACACTGTTAATAGCTGTACATGTACTAAGGCAATTATTGAAAATTTTCGCAGAATATAACTACATTTTTCATACCATGTTTAGGGGTGGTACAATGTGGCAGTCACATCTTAGAGAGGGGGTTAACCCTTTAACAAAAAGAAAGTGCAAGATGATAGACTTGATTTCATTTCCAGAGTTACATTTTTAAAAAAAGCAAGACTAGAATTTCTGGGATGTGTTCATTGTTGTTTAGCAGAATACTTACTATAGATACCTTTTAAAATAAGTCTTTTAAAGGTGATGGATGATCTGAAATTGAAATTTAATGGATGACTACAGTAAAAGCATCTAAAACAACTGATTTTAATGGATATAGTGGAATGAAATGGTATCCAGCACATTGATTCACCCTGTTAAATTGTTTTGGTGGTTTACTGAACAAGGGATTTGGCTGTAAACTAGTAGCAGGTTAAAAGCTTATTTTGGAGATATGAGCTAAGCTGTCACTTGTTAGTAAAAAGTATAATGTTTTTATTTTTTAAGTCTTTCTAGAATTGCTTTTTGAATTAAATAAATGTTTGGTTTCAACTTCCTGGTTCAAAGAACACTTTTTATTGCCCTTTATATCCTTTTTCTGTCAAAGTTTAATGGGTTTTTTTTTTTCTTATTTACAGGGAGTGTGGCCAGACTTGCAGAGGGAAACCCAATATTTTGTTTGCCTGGGCAAAAAATGCTCCACCAACCAATCTTCCTGAAGGTAATTAATCACTCCTTTTCTCTTCATTTCCTCAATTATGTCTTTTACAAAAGTCATTATTATATTTAGTCTGGTATGTCTTCATCAATGGACTATCGATGAATGGACTGGTATTAGCCAATTGAGTAAAAAAATCTACCTATAAAGTACCTATAAAATTTTCTCAAATATGATTGATGTTTATATACCTGTTTACATGTTGAAATATTATTTTAAAAAATTACCCATTGGCTAAATGAATAATTACTAGCAGTCTTTCAATGTAAATGAATAAAATGTCAGTGTATTAATTATCATTAAACTTAATCTTGGTTAATGTATACATTTATATAAAGTGTGTTTTTCAATAAAATATTACTTTAGAAATTAACTTTTTGGTAAAATATAATAGTTGATAGGGGACTTATATTTTTGGTCATGAGCTTGTTTGTTAGATAAATATGTTTACAGTGACAATAGCAAGTCTACCCAGGCATGGTATAACATTCAGTTTGTACAAACTCGTAATTGCTTCTTGAAGGATGTAAATCTACTGTTGCTTGGTAACATATTGCATATTGTTAATCTGTTTTTCTGACGTTAGTATTCCTATTATGATAATTTTTCATAGATTCCTGCAGGGGTGGAAGTAATATCTAAAAATTATTTGGGGCTGATGTAAAATGTACATAAAAGCAAATGAATAAGTATAACAATAATATGTGTAGAAAATATCAAGAATATCATCCAAAGAAACATAATTTTCCTAAGATATTGTGGAATGTCAGATTTACGTTGTGTTGGCCATCCTTCATAACATAATGCAGTAATATCATCTCTTATCAGTAAGTGGTCTAGGAGAGCTCGAACAATATCAACCCGCACTTTAATGAACATACAAGACCCTATAGAGAGTGTTATATTGACTTGAGTCTTTCTGTCTTTGCTGATTTTGCTCATTAGTTGCTGTGCAAATGTCAGGGACTGTGAGGACTGATCAATAAATGCCTGTGTGGGTGTAGCTTTGAGCAGAGGAAATATATGACCATCTCCCGATAGAGACCAGCAATCTCATTTTCTAAAACCTAGGAGAGTTTTCTTGGAAATGCAACGTGGCATGGGATGAAGCTGTAGCTAGATAAAAAAATTTTAAATTATGTGCTGGTGTATATTGAAGCTTTGACAATTTTTCTAAAGCCATATGATATTTTTCTAATATTTTTCAAAGTTCTGGAATTTTTTGTGCTGTTCTCTGAAGCATGAAGTGGCCATTTAAGAAAAATGTTGGGATATTAACTTTTAGTTTTGTTTTTCACTATAAGCGGAATTAGTTTTTGTTTGTGTGTGTGTGTGTGTGTGTGTGTGTGTGTAGACATTTATGATGCAAATTCTGACAAGGAATTGTATCGTATGAAAATTATGTTGTTTAGGATGTGGATTCCAAACCTCCATGCAGTGAATTATTTATGACTGACTAATCTTTCTGCTGTCATATTATTGAATGTTATTAATATGCCAATGATTATTTATTGCAAAATGAAGTGTAGATTATTAGAATAGTGCATTATTGAATTGTATATATATTTATAATATCAAGCTGATCCTTTTAATGAAATGGAATTGTATTAAAGCAGAATATTCCTTTCCATATTTTTTCACAATGTGCATACTTATAGGTCATATTGCAAAAAGTGATTAAAACTAGATACAACTCAATTCCTGCAGTAAGCATTGACTGACCATGTGTATAATTGATCTGTCATAAGTATGATTTATTGGGTATGGTGAACGAGGCTGACTTTTTAAATGTATTTACTAATAATTTTGGTCAGTATGATGATTTTTCATTGTGCAAGGCAAGCTTCCCACAGTCTTTATAATAATGTTGTTCTTTGACTTAATTGATATAATTTTATACTTGTTATAACATGTCTTGATTTTATTTCCTTTTCAGATGTGGGCTTCAAAATTGGAGGAAGCTCTAATGTCAGACACATAGTGCTACAGATACATTATAAAAACCCAACAAAAGGTAAGTCCTAAATTGTCCTTTTAATTCCCAATTCCCAAGCCTGAAAAAGATATACAATCAAGTGATATGAATTATTGAGGATTTAAATTATAGTTTTTTTGCAAAGTAAGGTACTGTTACAAAATATATATGATTATATAATTGATAAGAAATTCAATTTGTTAAACGGTATGGTGCACCATTAACTGCAAGGTATTTGGTGTCTGTTCCTCCCTATTATAATGTCTAAGCATCAGGTGTGTGCAGTGTAGCATATAATTATGTGGTTAGAGAATTCAGTGTTATGAAACCTGTTTTGGCTCAGTCTAGGTTTTTATTCCACAAGTGGTATCTTCTCATGGGATGTTCCAGATAAGAAGTCCTCAAAAGGCACACAGCTCATGTCATCCTCTATTCCAGGCATCTTCTTATCAGTTCAACACTGTTTTTTTTTTTTTTTTTCACTTCAGGTAGCTCAGTGTTTGAACAACACCAGGCTTTTACTGAAAACAATGAAACATTGAAAAATAAAATTAATGTTTTCCCTTTTCATTAGCAAAGGCCATAATTCTTAGACAGTTGAGAATATTTTATCATGCTCACATTATCACATGACACCCTATTTACCTTGACATTCAAAATCAAATTGTATTTGCTCCAGTTTATGAACAAAGACAGGAAATTGGTGAAAGAGGATTAATAACCAGTGGAAAGGAAAACATACACATGCTTCCTGTCCATAGATTCTGTGCTTTATTTTTGATACAGAAAAAAGTGGATAAAGAAACAATATCGATTTTGCCAAGCACTTAGCTGGCCTCCGATTTGTGTCATTAAGCTCCTCAGTGAACCTTATTGCCTGAAATAAAAACACTTAAAATAGAGTGTGCCATTGGTTACCAATTGTACTTGTGATTTGCATTTCTATTTCAATGACTTTGTCTTTAAACACACAGTAATGGAGAGTCTGCTTGCTGTGATGATCAGTAAGATATGCAGACAGAAACAACCAAACACCAAGGCCACAGTGCTTTGCAGTGTCATCTAACCTGAGGCATATTTACGGATATATTAATGTGCTTCAACAAGCAATTATTTCAGTACAGTATGGAATTTGCTGTAATGTTCACTTATATGTTTTCGTTTAACTCATTCCTAATGTGCTTTATTTTGCATTATCATGATCAAAAATAAGGTGGAATGTCTAGAAACAATGACTAGATTATATCCTAGACTTTCATTTCAAAAGTTGTTTTACAAAGATAGTATTATTGTATGATTTCATAATGCAATGGTGACTTTTGCTAAAGCTCCTCAGTCTCCCTGATATAAACTGTAATAGTCTTGTATTTTCCCATCTTTTTCCTCTTACGTCAAACCTTGTTACCATGGTAACATTCCTGAAGGCTTATTGTCCGTACAGCATGTCTGTGATGCTTCAATAATGTAGCACTCTGTTACTGTGTGGTCATAGGAACAGTGACCTCATATTATATTATGTGAAATATCCAAATCTACTATGTTCACTGTGGTCAGATCAAATATTTTTATTTGAAACCGTGACAAATTGTAAAACTAGCTATAATTGTGTGTCTTATCACACATGCCAGTTTGAATAATGTTAGTCATCCAGAAAACATTTTTTCTGGGAGAGAAATTTCTTTGATTATTTTTTTATTTATACTCTGAACTTGAAAATCTGACCGTCTTTCAGAAGACCTTCAAGCGTACAAATTTAACCATTGGATAGTGCTAAAAGACGTTTATGAAACCCGGTTAAACATCGTTTAAACTTCAGTAAAAAATCTTGTTGGCATTTTTAAACTGGATCAGTATCCAATTATGGTTGTTGAAAAAGACCAATTGATATGGAAGAAACAACTTGCGTTTGTGTTGAAAAAACTTTTGCTGCAATGTGTTCAAGAATCCTGCTGCTAGGAACCAAAAAAAAATGCTCTTATGATAAAATTTAATGCATACTTATATTTATACTTATACTTCATATTTGATTTGTATTAGAATCTGTTTCCTCTTCAAGTTTCCATAGTTACAGTTATAATGTTTTCTTGACTTGGTTAAATGACACATGCATACTATTTAAAAGATTCTGAAACTTATTTCAGAACCTGATGCTTCAGGGGTGCGGCTGCATTATACTCCTGAAAGGTAAATGATTGGTTTATTATTTACTGATTGAAATTTGTATGACTGATGTTGCAAATAGTGCACAGGAGTGGTCCCCTGCAAAAATTTGTCTCATTTAACACTCATGGTTCTCGATCCGTCCTAGAACATAATGTTTTTCTCTTTTAATGAAAAATGTTCTTAATCTGTTCTAGGACATTCTGAAGGACTTCCCAAAAACAGTTTGCAAACTGTTACATTCATTACAAAAGAACATTAGAACTGTAAAAAAAAAACATCAAATGTTCTATAATAGATTGAGAACTGTAAGTGAACGTTAAATGAGACTGATTTTCGCAGGGGGTTTGTTCTGATGATGCTCCATACAGAGGCTGTGACAGCAGATAGTTAAGAACCTACAGTGTAACATATTACCTTGATTTTGCTAGGTTCTACTATACTGTTTATATGTATATATCCTGCTATGTTCTTGTAAATTATGATTACAGTGTAAGTTATCTTGGCTCAGTGGCAGTTCTGGACAGACATCAGTGCTTAGAATAAAATACAGGTTCTGCTGGCAAACAAAGTAACATTGATTTTTTAAAGTTGTTGTCAATAGTCAGTTCGTTTCTTATTTCATACTCGGTCTGTATGTTGATTTCAGTATTGCATGAAGTAAATTGAAAAAAAAAACAGCAAATTACTTGAGATTGTATTTAAATGAATTCATTTACTTTAATGACTTATTTTTTCAGGCAGAAGAATATTGCAGGGATTGCATTGTTACTTTCAACTCAAATTAGCATCCCTCCACATCAACCTGGTAAATTATTTTCTCAAACATTTCATTATTACCATAAAACAAGACATATATCATTTGGGAATCGGTATTTGTTCATTACAAACAATGTGATGCCACAGCCAGTGTAAACCTGTGTGGAATCTCTATTGGATAAAATGAAACACAACATGGGGCGGGTATGATAAAAGTAATCTGTGGAGTCATTTGGAGGCTATCTTGGGACAGAGACCTTGCTGCATATGCCCATAGTGCAACTCCCCAGGGTTTTCTGTTAAATAAGCAAATTATTAGAAGACCTTCCATGCAGCTCACACTGGTCACTCAAACATATTTCGCGTTTAAGCCAAATTATTATCTTGACCAAGTTTGTAATGGACTGACTTAAACTTTTTAGATGTTTTAGATTTCTTTAGAGTTAATCGTCTTTAAGTAATTTGTGAAAAATAGATCATTAATAGCTGTTCATGAAGTATCATTATACTCATTTTTATCTGAAATATTATAATTTAATATTAAAGCAAAGTATGTTTGTAACTCGTGTATATTATTTAAAAATATCTATTATTTTACTTCATTAGACTTGTTTGTTATTTTTTATTTTTCAGAGACAATTTCTGACATTTCTTGTCAGTTCAAGAGCAGCACCCCTATTTATCCGTTTGGGTTCCGTACACATGCACATTCCTTAGGTAAGAAGATGAAAAGAGCAAACTACTAGGAAGCAAACAGGATGTAAAGTTGTACATAATTGATGAGACAGCTGCCATTTAATTACAGATTGGACTTGTAAACCTGGAATTGCACCTGATTTATTATTTGTACCTTTTTAGCATTCAGAATTTTCAGCTGTCTATGATTTTCAGGTGTTTTGTGTCATGTAATTTCTAAATAAATTTTTCATTAACAAGTGTATAATATGATTGTGGTTATATAATCATTTCTATTAAGAAAATACCAGTATTTTGTGTAGTGTAGCAAGTGTAAAGTCTCTAATCACCAAGCTTTTAAAGGTATATTCTATTTTTTTTCTTTTACACCGATGGTCCTCGTTTATTTTAGGCAAGGTGATCACAGGTTACCAGTTTAATGGCACCTATCATTTGATTGGCAAGGGAAACCCACAGTGGCCACAGGTAACAGCTGTCTCTGAAGACTTTTAAATGCCAATCTTAATTGTCCCCTCTTAAAGAAAACTTTTTTATTACTTGGATGTGTTTATTTTTATACCTAAATGTTTTACTTGTAGATGTATCCAAAATCAAGATGTTTAAATTGCTGAAAGCTGCTGCTTTTACTTTGTATTGTCTTTTTCAGGCCTTTTATCCAGTTAAGGACAAAATTAAGATCAGCAATAATGACATCTTGGTAAGTATATGCCAAGTAAACCATGGCATTATAATCTTATTTCACAAGGATGCTTGTCCTGTGATTTTAATTGTATTCTTACTTAATTTTATTTATGTTCTAGATCACTTACTCTTATTTAGACCTTATTGTCACATGCATAAATTATATTCTTCAGCTCGGAAGATGTGTATTTGATTCTACTCACAAGGATACCTACACAAGTATAGGGTAAGTATGCCAAATATATATTTGAATATTACTCATGTTGTTTTTATTGTGATAAAAATCCCACAGACTCAAATCTTGTCAGAAAGGTCATGGAGTGCTGCAATACTATAATACATCAAGGTACATAAAAGTGTGTCAAACCAAGTTGCAATATTAAAAAATATATATTCATTTATTTTTTCTGATGTTTACCAGGAAACAGTAATGAATATGCAGAAAATGCAATGGGCTCATTATACACTTAATGTGTAAGTTTTCCATTTTCAGACCTACACACAACGATGAAATGTGCAACTTTTATATGATGTACTACACTGACGCCAATGGTGGACAGCCCTTCTATGAGTGCTTTGGCAACTGGAGGCCTGATATGTTTAAAAATGGAGGATTTCCAAGTCAAGAGTCCCTTACAGCCCTCCCCCCAAATCCAGCTCTGGAAGAAGAAGCCGAGCATGGCCATTCTAGGGTAGACTCCAAAGCTGATGATAAATTAGATGAAGAAAAACTTACTCCAGGTAACAAAGAATTCTTGGAAGAACTTTTTGGTTTAGAACCCTATGAATCTGACAGGCTAGTAGCACAGAAAAAATCGGGTTACTACGGTAATGAAGAATATGGTGGTGGTAGTAGATACAGTAGATATGGTTATTCTGATACAGCAGGGGGCCAAGTTGATCCTAGCGATAAGAGAGGTGGTTATTTTGATTATCTTGATCCACATGGTGACAGTGACAAAGATGAAGATTACTACTTAGGGATTGAAAACCAGAGAGGTCGAGGTCGTTATCATGCCCAGTCAAACCTAAAGCCCTACCAGGAACCTTGGTCTGATGAGGATGCTGTGGAGGACCCCGAGGAGCGAACACTCCAGATTCCCCAAGCTTATTCCCACCACACAACTAATGCCCTGAACAAAGTTATCCCCCCTCCCACTAACGACCAGCCTGCTGCAACTAAAAGCATGCTCAAATCTCCAGAGAAAGCAGACATTCCTGCTGGCCAGGAATTCATTGCCAAAATTCCTGAGAGGATCCAAGAAAAGCAGCACCCTGCACACAAGGCTGATATTAGTAAAGAGTTTACAGGTCTGCCTGAAGTTTCCAGTAAGTCTGTAGCATCCTCACTGTGCATATTCGTTTTGTTTGCATGTTTGTCCATATTGTGGAGTAGAAAACAGAAATTCCACCAGTATATATGTTCTGATGGTAGTGTTACATTTTTCTTTTGAGTTGAAAGGAAAGCTTTTTAATAAAAACATGGAAATAGATTGTGGAATATAAATTGACTGATTTTCAGCTTATCCATATTGAAATTGTTTTTTTTTTATGAGACAGTTTGTTTGGGCACATTTGTAACTAAGTCTTGTACAGTCTTAGTAACACTATCTCATGAATTTTAAAATCACCCTTTTAATGAGCCAGTCATTGCTTGGCAGATACATTTGCCAAGTGTCAGTGCCTAAACCAACACAAGTGTCTCTTTTCAAAGGAAAAATCAATGGCACATTAATGAATGCTACATGCGTCAGTAGCTTATTATCTGTTCATATGTTGCTGCCTCCCACGTTAGTATTGATTTCCACAGTAATGAGAGGGGAGATTCCACTGTTAGAATACCATTGAGACTTGAGATTGCAGGCACCCTCCTCAGCAGTGACATGGTGCTAATTGTTTCATATTAAGTCGTGTTTACAGTCCAGTTGCGATGGCTTAACTTCATACTTCAGGAGACTGATTATAATTTCTAACCACGACACACAACTTGACTCGAAGGACAGCAGGAATTTCATTAGCCCTCTGTTGTTTGAAAATTTAGTCCTTAAAGTATTCATCAGTGTGTTATTACCCTTTGCCTGACCATGCTTCGTAATCTTTCAATTATTATTCTGCTAGATAAAGATTGTTGTTGTTCCTAGTTTCATTTTTTTGTGTAGATATCGATTTTTATTGTCACCCAAAGCACTTATTTTAATGTTGTTATTTTGTTGCAATCCTAACAGTTTGTAAAGCAGTATGTTCATTGCTTTCAAAGTATTATTGTGACTGCGTTGGTGTTTGTGTTAGAGCTAAAAGTGGTTGTTTTCCCTATAACACAGATATATTGTATAGTGTTTGATTAAGAATAAAAACCCAATCAAACTGCTCATTAGCATGCTTTAAAGATATGAGACAAGATGTATTTTTGCTTTGTTCATTCATTGGTTCATTGTGCACCAAATATTGACAGTCATTCCACTGTAAAATTACACTTGTTATTGGATACAGAATTGATAATGGTTCAAAGGGAGTGTTGTTTTGGCATGACAAATTAAATTTGCTGTTATCATTATATTTTTGTAATTCATGTTCCCTTTGGATATCTGTTTTTTTAAGAGGCATAGCATTTGTTTGCAAATGTATAGTAAGCTGCAGAAGTCTTAAGTACATTTTGAACAAAGACATTTGCTTATGATAGATTTAATAAAATCAACACATATTGATGTATTATCACATATATTTTTGTATCAGTTACAAGATTTTTTCTAAGTAAGAAAGGATGCATAGATCCAATTAAGTATGTGAAGGTAATATATTCCTTGTAAGTCTTTTGTATAGACAAAATTATTTTTATTTTTGAATATCATTATGAAGTAATAAGTCATTATTGCTACTCTTGATTTCTGATATTTTATTTCCTTATAGCCCTAGAAGCAGTTAAGAACTGGCCAGACCTTGGGAACGTGAAGCTGGGTCAAGTGGCAGGCGTGGCTACTGATTCTAAAGGAAATGTGCACATCTTTCACAGGGCAGACAGAGTTTGGGACTACAGGTAAGTTTGGCAATCTTCTTGCCTCTTGGTGGCACCAGAAATTACAAAAACAGTTGTATCTGTTGGTTTATCTCATATCTGTTACTTTATCTCACCTGTCATTAAGGCTTTGTTAAAATCTTAACTTTAAGGGAAATATTTCTGATTCATATAGTTTTTAGATGTAGTTAACATAGGCTAAAGAGATATTTTTTCTAAAATTTTTAAAGATGGTTCCAATAAAATCATATCAGTTTGACCACAGATAAATTTCCCTGAAAAGGTAGTAATTTGGAGATTAACATAAATTACTATCCAGCTTCTGTTAAAATAAATTTTACTATTTGCCATTCCAGCACCTTTGATCCAGTGAATAATCAGTATCTCCAGAGGAATAGAGGGCCAATTACACAGGACACGATCCTTTCTTTCAATCCCAATGGAAAGTTGATCAAACAGTGGGGTAAAAATCTGTAAGTGACTTCACTGATTCTCTGTATTTTTTAAAATATTATTTCTGGTTTTGTTTTAGGCTAACACCAAAGAAATGGAAATTTTGCTTTAAAGAGTCCATAGTACCAAAACTTTTATGATATTCTTTAGATTCACGCTGGTAAAACTAACAATGTCATTCTTGTATTTTTAAGGTTCTACCTCCCCCATGGCCTTTCCATTGATGACCAGGACAATATTTGGGTCACTGACGTAGCCATGCATCAGGTACCAAGATACGATCAAACATTGTGTATATGTACAGTATTTAAGCTGCTCTAAATGACCTGAACTTCAGAGCAACTAGTTTGGTTCCCTTTTTATATGAGATGGCTAAATTATTTAGCTGTTCCTACTACCTCAAATTTCATGATTTCTTGTTTGATTTCACACACAAACAGGCATGCATTCTCTCTCTCTCTCTCTCTCTCTCTCTCTCTCTCTCTCTCTCTCTCTCTCTCTCTCTCTCTCACACACACACACACACACACACACACATGCACATTGATCCCATATAAGCTGGTTCTCTCAATGTGTTCTCACCTGGAGCAACACCAGAAACCAGGTGAAAACAACCTACGAAATTCACGTTGTTTAGTCAGATGTCCTGTTATGCCTGTACCATCCTGTTATTCTTCAGGGGAGGAATTATATATTAAGCATTGTGTCACAGTGTTGGCAAGCTGCCAGCCAACTGGTCGACTTTGTGTTATGGGATTTGTTCTCTGTGGTGAAAAGCGGTGGCTGTACACAACAGTTATTGTGCCATATTTATTTAAATATACCCAAAAGTAAAAACCTTTGATTGGAATCTTGCCTTTACAAGCTCTCTGCTGCAAATTGTACCTGATGGAACTCCATGCATCTTTAAATTAATGACATCATTACCACATGTTCATTAGGTATTCAAGTTCAACAAAGGTGAGGAAAAGCCCAGTTTGACATTGGGGAAAGAATTTGAACCAGGCAATGACCGTTACCACTTCTGCAAGCCAACAGATGTTGCCATTTTACCAACAGGAGAGTTCTTTGTTTCAGATGGGTAAGAAAACAAGATTTCAAGATAATAGCCAGGCTAGGAATAAAAGAGTCTGTCTTGTTCTTCAGGAAAATAAAAAAATAAAAATAAAATAAAATAAAGATATTTTCATAAAGTAAATGAGGTGATTTGGTAAATGGACTCATTTAACAAAAATGTCAGCCAGGACATCTGAATCTGCCCTTGATAACACTCACACCAACTTATGACCAAGCACTTTTGTGGGGATTATTTGAGTGTTTCTGCTGTTATTTCTCCTAAGAACCTTGGTGGATTCACTGACATGACCTGGGCACTGTTTCAGCATGGTAAAAGAAAAAAGTATAAATCGTGGTGCAAATAGAATGATTCGTTGCAGGAATGAGAATTGGGTATTGAGAATAAGGTAAATAGATCATCTGAGATTTCTGCATTCATGTTAACAAGTAATTAATTTGTTTTTTTAGGTACTGCAATCACAGAATTATTAAATATGCAGCTGATGGTAGTGTCATTAAATCATGGGGGACCATTGATGGAGAATTAGCAGGTTAGTTGACACGTGAAAAATGTGACATTTGGTTATCATTTTTGTAGTTTTACACATTTAGATAATTTGTAATGCTGCTTCAATAGTATCATAAAACAGTTTTTTTTTAAAGTCTCATTTCTTATGATAAACAATTTGAATTTAGATTAACTTGAAGTATTAATTAAGGTGATGACTGAATCCTTAAAAAATTTAAAAAAATGTTCATGATAAAAGAGGAAATGTAATATATATGTATATGGAAATTATCAAAAATTAAAATCAAATAGAATAGACATTTTGTGTTAACCTCCAGCTGACAAGTACCCCAAGCCTGGTGCTTTCAAGCTCCCCCATGGCCTCACCCTGGCAAAGGACAAGAAACAGGTCTGTGTAGCTGACAGAGAGAATGGTAGAATACAGTGCTTCGACTACGATGGCAACTTCAAGTCCCAGATTCACCTCACTGAGTTTGGACACAAAGTGTATGCTGTTGCCTACACCCCTCATTTTGGTAAGATTGTCTACATTGTCAGTACTGTACTATTTTCCAGCAAAAAATTCTAGAACTGTTATTCACTCAATTTTATTTGTGTTTTCTGTATTCTCAGGTTTCCAAATGTTTTATCTGTTGAGTAATTCTGCTGTCATTTTTATTTTTTATTGTGAATAAGTGTTTTAGTGTGACATGTTGTTAAGTTAACCTCACCATGTAGAATTTCAGAAAAATACAGTGTTAAGTGCTCCTCAGTGCCCTTTCTCGGGATTTATTAGTGATGATGATAATAAGGATCTACACATGTACCTCATTGCTTCTTAAAAATCTTTCAGACATTATGAATCAATAGGAACAATTTCACATTAATGTTATCATAAAGCTACAATTTAGCATCTTTGTAAAAAAAGTTCATGAATAAAAGTGTTCTTTGTATAAATTTCAAAATTCTTGAACTCCCTACAGTTGGTGTGCACTTAGATAGCAGCATTAACTGTGGTATGGCCATATTTCTATTGACTAGGTGGCTTGATGTATGCCATCAATGCAGACCAGTCTAATCCAGAGGAAAATGAGGGATTCACCATAAAATTTGACACTGGGAAGCTGCAGGATACTTGGAAACCACAGGGAGTAAGTAGAGCTAGCTTGAAACTCTTAGAACCGTGCCATTTTATTGAATTAGTGAGCATTGCATTACTGATTATTTGTTAACTATATACATAAGTACTTATGTGTGCTTGTTTTCTGATGTATATGGAATCGGTTTACAAGATATTAAAAGCAATATGTTAAGGTGAAAATAATTTAAGTGGGAATTTTTACTTGATAGAATCGCAATTTCATCATAAATATTTTCTTTGAAATTTACATGAATGGTGCAATTTTTCCCAATTTTCTTTCACAAAACATTGTGTTTCTCCAGGGATTTTCACGCCCCCATGATGTCGCAGTGAGCCCAGACGGCAAGTGTGTGTATGTAGCAGAGATTGGGAGCAACAGAGTGTGGAAGTTTCACTCTACATTTGATGGTAAGTGAAAAAGGAAGATCTACACATCATTTATTGCATACATTTCTGCTTTTGCCCATTTTCCTTGTTGCAAAATTCATTTTTTGGGAGGATAGTGAGAGTGTGTGACTTGAGAATGTTAGGTATTAAGGAATAAAGCCCATTATGCTGCCAGGATTTCAAATAGATGGATAAGGTAAAATCAGGTCATATATTATTGTGGGTTCATAGTGTTTTATTAGTTTCATTGATGTCTGAATTTTTAGAAAGTTTCAATTGTCTTCAATTTCAGCACAGACTCAGAGCACAGGAAGTGCTGTGATTACAATGAAACCAACTTCTGGAATGATAAGCAATAATCCTAGCACATCAAAAACTGATGTGCAAAATTATAAAACTGGTACCAGTAGCTCCAGTTATGTCACAAAAACCTATCCAATGTCTTCTACTACCCAGCCTGCCCCTACAAAGTCTGTGGATCCTTGGCCTTCTTACTCCCAGTCAAATAACCTCCCATCTTTTAATACACAGCCTGTTAATACACAGTCTTTTTATATGCACCCTGTTCAAAATAATGGGGATGATACCAGGATAGTTAGTACAGAGCCTGTCTTTACACAGCCTCCGCCCAGTGATGTTCCATTGGGTCGTGATCAGCATATTGATTTACCACATGGTAATACATATCCCACTGACATGGAGCCTGTTCACACTGAGTTAAATGAAGATGTTAACCCAGCCTCACCAGGTTTGTGAAAGGAGGATAGAATTTAAATTGGGGGAAAACGATGTTACTAACATGGTATTGTAGGGAAGTGCAGAGAAGCATGCCAGTGTTTGATGCTTAGCAAAAAAAATATTGCATAGAAATTTAGGGAGAATGTTGGTCTATCACCTTGGGTTTATAGATTAAAAACACTGATGTGAAGGTCATGGTAATGCACAGAGGAGACTTTTCTCTGTTGTATAGTATTGTTCCCTGGTTATTTGATTTGGACCCCACTGACATGAAATAATATGGTTATTTAAAAATATGTTTGAGATGGTTTGGAAGTTTTGGTGCATGTGTTTTATTTACTAGCATTCAAACTGTTATTTACCACACCTCATTTCATTTACCTTTTAAGTATAAACTTTATGATGGTTTGAATATAAAGCAGTTTAGTTTATGGTTGGATTTGGTCGCATTTGTATTATCAGACATATACTAATCCATTTAACAAGCATGTCCATTCTGCATGCACCCAGGACCAGACTTTTTTATTATTTAAGTAAATTTATCACTAAAGAAGTTTATGTAATTTTATATCATGTGCTTCAACCTTAATAATCTTAGTCTCAACCGTAGAGTAGATCAGTGTGCTGTAAATTCTCATGTCCACTTTGACGTACTTTTGAAAAAACAAAGTATACACACAAGTATGCAGACACTTGGTATAAATATGAACACCTATTAAGAACCCTACATGTCATTAATTCCAGTGGGTATCCACAAAAGCCAGAAAAAGATGGGAAATGGCATATTTAGACAGAAACCAGACAAGCCAGACTTTACAACAGATGAGGATGAGGCAGAGGTGGACGAGATGAAGAAGTCTGGGATCTCCAAGGAGGTGGAGAGTAACAATGAAGGCTCTGTTCAGGGAGAGAATAATGCCACGCCCATCATTGTGGGAGTTGTGCTGATCGTGCCTGTTGTCGTGGTGATTGTTGCCACAGTGATTATGAGGATTAGAGGTATTTTATGCAAACATTATTATTTTGTAATGTATCAGACAAATAATATTTTTTAACCACATATCACTACACAATCTATCCCCATCCACTTACAGTTTGTTCACTCATATGTGGATTTTATCCCATGCTGTTTCTTACCTAAAGGTCTGGTATCACATAAGGCATGCATAGATTGAAAATCGAGTACACTACATTAATAGACACCACTTGACAACCAGAATACAATAGAGCTGTGAACAGCTCAGTTTTTCCAATCTCAGATCTGACAATCTGCAGTCAAGTCATACAAAATAGACAATTTTTGGTCTGTGTATCCCCACTGCATATTTCTAAACTGACCCTTAGTGGAACAAGAGATCGTTTGCGCATTTTCAAATTTGAGAAGTACCTGCATGAAAAATTTCCCAAAATTGAATGATGACCCTGAAAAAGTTCATTTTCATACAACTGAAATAAAATTGATTCCTGAACTTCACCTCAGTGGGACTATTACTTCCAACTTCATTAGCACCCACACCCCTCCCCTAAATTGCTCAAGTGTACTTAATAAAGGTCAATTCTCCCAAGGCACATATAATTGCTCTCTAGGTATTTGCTTCTTAACAGTTTATCCCCAGTCTATTGTGAGAGTGTCTAAAGTTTTGAAGCAGAAATCCATTTCAGACCTTGAAATTTAAGGTTCAGATTAATCCGGTTAAAAAAAATGTTTGACAGCAGATAGGCTTCGGTGATAGTTCAGTACCAGAGGGCAAATTTTCCACAAGTGTAAATGTAAACTAATTTTTATTTCTAGGTCGCATGGCTCAGAACAGATTGTACACAGTAGACACTGGCCTCAGAGGTGGGTTCAACCTGGGCAACCTCCTGGGGCGCAAACACAAAGGCTTTCAGCAGCTGAATACAGAAGAGCTAGACCATCTTAACAGCGACTCTGAGGACGAGTTCTCAAGAAAAACATAGATGGTGCTGGTAGAGTTGCAGCTTCTCAGGTGGAGGATCATTTGATATATTTATGGGAGCTCTGCAGTGTCATGAGACATTCTATACAGGGATATATAACTGATATTGTGCAATTCGTTTTGTTTTGTATAGAATACAGAGCATTTGTTGTTGTGTTTGTTGTCTAGTGAAGTGATCATGGAAAAGAGAGGTTTGTTGATAAAATTGTCAATTATTTCACTCATGAAAAAACACACCTCAGTTCTGTTATTGATATACTGGACTGCTGGTTGCTAAACACTGGTTTAGCCTTGTAGCACTAATAAAAGTTACCATCAAATTCGAATTTAATATACGAACAATTATGTCTTATTTTTATAGCTGCAGTGTTGGTTAAGGATATTTGCTTGAGGCATAATTGAAAAATGGTTGGAGATGGTACATTATTATTACAGTTGTATATATCAGTCAAAAATGTTCATTATCCTGAATCAAAAGGCTTCAATATTATCAACAAACCTCTCCAATAGTTTTAGAACATTTCCGTAAAGGCATATTATTGAAGAAAAGAATGAGCATATTGTGAAAAAAATCAGTGAATTGATTCTTAATGCCTCGTAAATTGACGATGATTCTTGAAGTAGAACATCACTAAAGCATTTAGGTCCGGGACTTGCCCTTTGGCCTTGTCTCTACAAAAGTACCGTGGCATAAACGAATGGATAAGTTTTGGTTAATTATGAAAACTGTATGCCTATTCCTAAATTCTTATTTATTTTTGTTATACACATAAGTATTCATATATGATCTGGATAGTATTTTAAAACGATTGTTTTGATAAACTTCAATTTGCTTCAAAGCAGTACATTTCCAGAACGTGCTTGCCAGCATGATCTTTATTCTAAATGTTCTTAATGGAAAATGTATGTGAAGCATGGGGAAAAAGTATAAAGCTGTGGGATCCATCATCATTATTGAAACTTTCAATAGAGACTAACAATTTTAAATTCAGTACAGCTCTCAGTGCATGGATTGTAGTTCCTGTACTGTTCTCAAGGCAGACGACACAGAACATTCCATATGTTAGTTCGGCCATTGTGCCGCAGGTCGTAAACGCGTTATAAAAGGCAGCATAAACATACCACTGGTTCATTGTGGCCCCAGCTCTTTCGCCGTTTATTACTACTTTGAGAATGGGGTGCTATTGCAAATTTTACCTTACTTGCAAAATGATAAAGCTACAGTCATTTTATGTAATGTGGCAAATTTATTATAAATGTTTTCTTGTAATTGTATAATTTGTGAATTAATATGTTGTACATAATCACAAAAGTGGTAGATCTGAAATAATTAGAATTAGAAGAGCAGGTCATGTGATATATAGATATGTATATTTAAGATAGCAGAGCTTGCGTATTTTTATTTGTTGAAAACAACGAAGAGGTTGGATCACAAAAAAACAGATATTGATATTTGCCATGTTTTCAAATTACAGTCTAACCAATATTTTACTGAACATTTTGATGATCTTGAATTTAAATATGTCAAAATGTGGATCATGGTGTAAATGAATTCTTTACAAACAATAATGACACTGAAAACATAGCCAGGTCTTAAGGAATGATGCATTGTGTGATCATACGTAATTGATGTAAGCAAATTGTGCTTTGTAGAGGGTTGGAATGAACGTATTGTTTATTTCAAAAGTTTGAGAAGCTTTCTGGCTTTTCGAAAGAGAGTGTATATTGGGTAAAAATGTAGAATTTGGTCACAATCAAGTGAATAAATTAGTTTGTTGAAAGCACATGTTATCAGTCAATTTGTTGATAAGAACTTGGTATTAGTAAATTGAGCAAACACTTTTCATCTAAGTCAAGAAAAAATGTTATTACGCGTAAGTATGAAGTGTGACATATTTTGATTGAATATCTTGAGGCATGGAGGAATCTTTAAATTTTAATAATTTTTTCTTCAAATTGCCAAAAAAAAGTAACCCTGGGAGCCTGTGTGACATGGTTCAGCGGATGATCCGTCTCCAGATAGTTGCGTAACCGAACTACGTGCAACCTATCAATTACTAGAAAATGCGAAAACCCCATCTGTCAAAAGTACATGTACATTGATCATCGTATTCAGTTTTTCACTTACACCGTTAGGTGTGCCGTTTATTCTGTCGAACGTTATTGGTCTTCGATTTCCCTTCAAGATGAAGTGTAAAAATATGTCTATAAATACATCAATAGATCCGGGCCTCGATCTCCCCAATACACATTGCACTGGCCCTAGACACGACGACACGGCATCTGGGCCGTAGTAGAGCTAGGCTTGGATGTGGTACTGACCACCACCAGCCCTGTATATTGATCCTCGTGTGAGTTTGAGAAACAGAAACGGTTTTCTCCCTTATCAGAAGCCCAGGAACTGCTTGAACGCTTAAGCTAAGTGGTCACAGGCGTGCGGTATGATCACCGTGACTTTACTCGAAGTATGCCTAAATTCTAATCTGCTTAATTAGAAGTGGGCGTTTCAGCCGAGTAGTTATGACCCCAGACAGTAACTACAATTTTCACGGGAGCGTCAGTATAGAAAGGTAAGAAAGATCGATGTTGACTCGGTGCATGTGCCTGGATTCTTCTGATAACAGTGTTCGTTTTCAGCTTGGATTTCGAATGCCTATTGCAACTTTATGATAAAAGTGAGTGTGAGATAAGTAAAAAAAGTGATATTTACTGTTATTTAATGAGTAACCCATTTTCCCAACTGCAATATATGAGATTGCTTAATTGCCATCGACCTGTGGACCTTTCAAACATAAATTAGAGATGACACCTGGCTTCTTTTAAAATCGGCGTACGCAATTGGCGAGATTATCTCAGACGTGGATAATGTTTCTTTATCTTTTAATACAATTGAAAATCATAATGCACTGGAAGTACAACTGGATTCGTTTCCTTAACAGGAGGTACAGATGTTAGTAACAGAAAGAAAATTTACGCCAATGAAAGCGTGATAATAAATATCTGTAACAAGATTGTAATAGCAAAGAAAGAAACTGCAGTTATGGATTTTCGTGGCCAATAGCGGCTGCATTGACAGAAATAGTGTAAATGGATTTAAATAATGTTTTATTAGTTTGCAGATTGTTTAGTTTATAGGGCCGGATATTTGACAAGTCTCTCCGACATAAGAGAAATGCAAACAATATAATGATTGATTTCATTGTGGAAAGATGGATTTTGATAATAGAATAGAAGCGATCGTTAAAAGATATAGACATGAGTCAATGAGTCCATACTTTCATGTCTGGGAAAAGGGAAATTGTTTCTCATTTGGATCATCTGTTTCTTTATCAGTAGAAAAAGAAACATAAAAAAACTGGTTAAAAGCAATATGTGACTATCATTTTGATGTTTTAGTGGTGAACTACAAGATCGCCACACACATATGACATCTTCATTGGTATTTTTCAGAACAAGAAAGTGAAATTAATCTAAAATGGCAAGTGGAACAGTGCAACTTATCCATCATAGGCTGATCCCAGCACGAACCAAGCAATGGCACCTTTACAGCTTCTATTTTGACAGTTTGCTGAGACTGCGAGCCGAAGTGCCCAACAAGAAAAACGTCTCCTTCGGTGTAGCATTGCCGCTATTTCAGTATGCCGAATTTGAGATCGTAGTGTTCTGCGCCCAAAGATTTCCTACAGTCGCTGACCATGAGAACCTACATTCTGAGGCTCCATACACGGTACTAGACGATGAATTGTCCGTAGAGTGTGACAAACATGACTGTTTCGGGTTGGAGAGTTTCTACAAACGGGTGGCGGAGAATAGAGTTGCTCCGGTCATTTGCCTTGTTACGGACGTGCCAGACCAAGAGGTAAGGTTAAAATACACGTAATAACTTGCAAACACACCCATGCATACGCGCACGCATGAGCACACAAAAACAGAGAGGTACAGACAGACAGACAATCAGTGAGATCAAAAGGAAATTCTCTATAGCAACGTTTTTAAAACACGTTAGAAAAATAACCAGTATCACATCTTGACATTGAAGAATATAATCACTACAGGTGCGATAGATTGTCGGCAGCTTGTTTGCATTCGTTATGTATTGTGAAACGTAATGAGGTGCACTGACCCGTTGCCTCAACACTGATACGATATCGAAAGGCGATATCGTTATTGATCTTCTGTTCGTCAAGGGGTTGTTCGAATATTGTTAATCTGAAACATGCTAATCTCCAAGGATTCAAATGAGACTATTCATTAGAAAAGACTCTTGTTCTTAATGCATATCATCAAGGATGTCTTACCACGTAATCTGGACAATAATTTCGGTTCAGAAAATTGAGTCGAGGAGCACTGTGCATGTGCCTCTTGTACCATCCCGGGACAAGAATTGCAATGTGTACGCAATTCCTTCTAAACAGAGGGAATTTCATTTTTAATTAATGGATTGTGAGAGGCTTTTCCCTCTTAGGAGTTCGAAAGAATACATAAACACATGCCTTTCGTAGTGGAAAATACACTTTATCGACTTCAACAAGCGCATACCATACCTTTCTCTATTGTGATTTTTTTAAAATTTATGTAACATAACGTACAGATTCAATGTCTTCAAACTTTGCAGAAACAAATGAAACGATTCCATGGTGTAACTTTAACAATATCCTTTTATTCTTCTAAAAATTTTGCACATAAATTTATTAATTGAAATGTCAATAAAATATCAACATCTGACTGGTTCCTTGTGGGTTGATGCGCAATAGATTATTTTTATCTCTTTCTGCTGGCTTCATAAACTTTAATACATGTACAAAGGCCATGCATATTTAATGGGATGTCACTGGGAAACTACGGAAAAAAAAATCCAGTCGTGTATTTTCAACATGTATGGTTCCTAATCAGGGAGTTCTAGAGACATTTGACATTAGTATGAGTCTTTTTTCTTTTTTATGGCCTGTTTTCACATGTTACAAATGAAGCGTAAATGTCACGATCGATGTTTTACTTATTTCAAATATTAAAATTTTCAACAATTTAAGTTTATAACTCCAACTCGAACTCCTATTAATAAAAACTTTTCTCGGGGCTTCTTCCTTATTCACAATAGGTCACAATAACAAAATTATAATTGTATATCTTTTTGTATTTCCCATTTTGTGGTTGTTGTTCTTCAGGAACAAGCCGTCCTACAGCGAGCTTTCCATCGGCTGAACAGAGAACAGCAAGAGAGATTGGTGTTTGCGATAATCGACGAAGATAACAAGGAAGATGTGGCTAGAATCATGAGTCGCTTATGCAAGCCCTCACGACACCACAGGTTCTACACTCTTGGAAGAGGTCTTCTGAAACAAGAACTAACGCTGACTTTTCTAGAGAGAATTAACCATCACCTGACCTTACTTCTACGCGAAATAACCGCAACGCTCAATGCCTCGGAGCGCGAGTTAGTTGATATAAAAAACAGCAGGGAAAGCATAAAAAGTGCAACCGATGAAATGATGGTAAAATTGGAGCAAGACAAAGGACGTTTGGTGCACGAAGCGCATGAATGGCTATCAAATGTCTCCGCACGCCAGTTTCTGACCTACGCTCGCGAATGTCGCCTGAAACGTGGGAAAGACTTCGTGGGACAAGACCCCAATGTGGTTTTCTACATGGGCATTCAAGATTTTCGAACACAGATCGTTGATTACATCTTTGAAAGAGTGGCATCTGCTGTGACAGAAGAGATCTTTCTTGCATGGAAGCAGACGAATTTGAACACAGAGAAGCTGAAGGCGCGCGTCGACCCTGCTTTCAAAGAAATTATAAAATTCTTCGCTGGAACCCCAGACACTCTACCAAGCGCATATGATACACTTCTTTTCACAAACTTAATGGATGAAATCCATAAGACCCTTGTAGATGTGAAAGAGGGGGTTCTTGAGACATTTGAATCCATGAAATATCTTTTCTTTGGATGTCCTGTTAACACCGACCAGTTTCGGGAACCGCTCGCGGTGCGTGCCAAAGAAAAGGTGGACATAACCGCAGAATCAATTGCAGTTAGCCTGGGCGACATCTTTGCCGATAAGCTGAATATTCATGTAGCAAAGACCTTAGAAAATTTCCAAAAGCGGGAAGAGGCTCTTTGCTGCCGAGAAGACGTGTATCGCATTCAAAGAGAAGCACAGGAAATCCAGTATAAGCTCTGTGAAGTAATAAAGCAGCGCAGTCCAGGCTTAAGGCCGGGGTCATATCAGAGTCAGGTCCCAGATGTCGTGTCTAGTGGTGTAAAGACGTAAGATAGACAAATATATCTTTTTCAATCACAAAGATCTTCAGGTCATTTTGATAAGCATGCTATTCATCAGTACTATAAGTTTGATTTTAAGGACACACACACACATACGCGCGCGCGCGCGCGGAGAGAGAGAGAAGAAAAATATATATACCGCCTTATCTAATATGGTGCAGTAAATATGTCAATATGCCGAAGTAATAAGCACTTAAATTTGAAATGGAAAATATGCACAATTAACTTTTTTAAATCAGATTTTGACACTGTAAATACCGGTTTAAATTTCCAGGTTTAACTCTGTCCCGCCTACAGCCCCACCCTCGGTTCGAGAAGTGGAGATGTTTAGTGGAGGCTTGAAAGTTTATGTTGAAGACGAAGACAAAGACTACCCTGACTATGGTGAAGCTCCGGACTACGGCCAGCGACAGATGCAAAGCCAAAGTGGGCACCGGTCTCTGAGTGGGACCGGCACGCACTACGGTCAAAACCATGTGCGCGGAAAAGATGGCACGCTTATTGATCCCAAAGCAGGCGAGGACTACGATCAGTACGATGCACAGCAAATGCGTTCAGCTGGGAACGGGTTGGGAAGAGCTACAGGTACTGTGCAAGACATCAGTCAGCAACAGGTATCGCACCAAGGTAGCTATGGGCTTTATAGGGGCAACGATACCGGGCTTGACTTCGGCCAGCAACAGCTGCGCGACCGAGGTGGACTGGACTCCCGTTGGGACATCGATGACGGTCCAGACATAAGCCGACAACCTGTGCGTCATATTGGGCGCGGACCATCTTCCAAAGGCTCTGGTATCAGTCCCGATTTCGGCCATCAACCGATGCGCAGCCAAGGAGTTTCAAGGACTCCGGACAGCGGTTCGAACATCAGCCAGAAACAGATTCGACAAGGGTCGCGGGGATCGTCTCCCAGAAACACTCAGACCGAACCGGATTTGGACCCGCAACAGTTCCGCCACGGAGGACGTGGACCGTCTCCAAGAAGCACGGGCACCAATGAGGATTTCAGTCAACAACAGTTACGTCAGGGCGGGCGGGGACCTTCTCCCAGGGGCATTGAGCCTGAAGCAAATGTTGGCCAGCATCACAGTCGTCAGAGTGGGCGTGGGCCTTCTCCAAGAGGGCATGAGACACTGCCAAATCAACACAAGAGGAATGGGTCCAGTGGGAACAGCTACTTTTCTTCTGATAAACAGCCAGAGTATGGGCTTTTAGATAATTACTGACAATAAAACTAGAAAGTTAAAAGACATTTTAGCTTTATGTTACAGACGCCGTTTCATCAAGAAACGTGATCATCGCCATTTATCGTCAGAAGTCCAACAGAAATAGCCCTACAGTACGGCATTTCTTTTTATAACCGAACTGAGTATAAGGCCTATATAATAATTTAGTGTAATATAGAAGTCCACTAGATGTATGTTTGAGATCTTTGCTTGTCGTTCTTGATTAGTAGTTGCATTTGGTCCAAGATAAGTGTTTTAACATTATTAAAATAATGTACTTATGTGTTTAAAGTAATCAATCATTTCCAATCATAAGTGTGAACTTTTGCACCCATGAGGTTTCAATTTCAAAAAATAAATGTTGACATGAAAACCTATTTATGACAAATAATTTACAAGTCCGTTTAGTCTATCCAACTCCGCGATCGCTCCACCTTATCTATAAAGAAACTTCTTATTCTATGATAATTTTCAGACTTGTATTTTGAAAACGTTTTCTTTGTGAAAATAAATGACATTACTCAAACAAAAGAAAATGAAAACTACGTTTTATTATGAGAAATGAAACGGCGGAAACTACATAGGCCTATATAAATCTCTGTGACAACGTAAGCTTTTATGTTACGTTTCAGATTCAATGCTGAATACTACAGCATTGAACACGGCAACGTGGCATTGTTAGATGCCAAATACGTCAAGCAAAATTTCAGGGCCTAATATTTTTTTCATGAACATGGTTTCTTATTAGCCTTCAATAATAAGTAACTCGCACTCTTAAAATGTCTGACAAAGTTTCAGAATGATACTTTCTGACTTTCAAACGTTTAAACACAATCCAAGTTTTGGTCTGTTCAAGCCTTCTGCACGAGAAAGTTTTTTTCATTGGCATTGAGTCTCAGGTCTCAGTCTGAGGTGAAGATGCCATCCAACATTAATAGGGCCTATTATCTTTGATCCATTCGTCTCTGTGCTTTTTCATGTAATTTTTCGGGTAAATATTGCTTCTTCCACGGGCAAAACGATGTTCACTCCAATGTGGGTCTTCATAGTATACATTGTACTTCTTCCACTTCCACGTTTTTCTCAGGTGAGTTCTAGGAGGTCCATCCAATATGACCGGTCTTAAGTTTGGCATGAGGCCCGCTCTCTGCGCTTGCTGTACCAGTTTCATCACTAACTTTTGCTTTCGTAGACATAGACCAGTTACATATCTTGGTAAAATACACCCATCTGGTCGAAGGAACTGGCTCAAAATTAAAACGTCTGTATAACGTAATTCAAGATCAAGTTTACACAGCGGGCAAGCATGGGGGTCTCCTTCTTTTTCTGGCAGTTTAATAACGTGGTCCTTGAAATGAGAGTCGACGTTAACTCCCTCGACAACGAGCGTGTCTCCTTCCATGGTTTTGCGAATTTCTTTTAACCCTCTTACGCTTGTTAGTGAGAACATCCGCGCCTGTATATTGTCCAAACTTTGTGGTCGCTTAACTAGAGCTTCAGTATTCTTCGTCATGGGAAGGAATGTACGTAATGATGACAAAATCCCATTGTTAAATCGCATGAACTTTAAGCGAGCACAGACCCCAGCCATTTTGTTTCACATCCGGGCTCTTGTATCATGGCTGCGCCTAGGTAAATGGAAATGTATTACCCGCACTTGCCAGTGTAGTTGATTTCCACTTTGTTATATCCGTTGCGTAGTTCCATACATTCAGTCATTCGTGTTTAGTTAGCGGAACTATGGACGTTGTATTTTCAATGTTTTTTCTATTGTTGATATGTACATTTTCTGTTGGTGAAAATCAAAGTGAGGCAAAAGCCAGCGGCGATGCCGACAGGCCAAGCAGCTCCAACTTGTACAAGGAACCCTCAGAGTCATTCATTTGGGATGCAAATGGTTATATAATTTTTTGCCCGTGCATGGGTAAGTTGTGATTAAATTTGGGCAAAGACTTTAGGAATAGGGTAATACGTTGAGTTTCCATTCATTTCGAATATATTGTATTTATTGCAGTAGCGGTTATTAATAATATATTATATATATTCAATTCAATTTATTTCTGTTATTATATTAATAATAGTTTTTCTCGTTGCATTTGAGAATGAGTTAATTGAATGATCTTTATTGTTATAAAAGAACTAAAGAAAGCAAACTCACTTTTTTCATGATATGATTCTAAGGCAGTGCCAGCATCAAACGCCAGAATTAATAATTTCAATGCGTTTTTCAAATAATAGTGAGGATAATAAATAAATAAATAAATAAATAAATAAATAAATAATCAATAATTAAATTATTAATTTGAAAAATAAAATAAATAATTATAATGATATAAATAAATGAAATAATGATTAAATAAAATGAATATAAAAATGTAAATAATAAATAAATATATGTAATAAATAGATAAAATATATAATATTATAATAGATAAATAAATAGATCTGTTTACAAATAAAATTGAAAGTGGAATAATTAATATTTACAAATTTTTGAGCTTTATGGGATTATAGTTTTAAAAATGCTTGGTGTTAAGTTATTCAAGTTGAAGACTGTATGTGTTAAAGAAATAAAAATTAATAAAGATCTTTGGTGCATATTAGACATTTATTTAGCAAAGAATTAAATTTTTGGGAAATTCCAACACATCCATGAGTTGAAATGATGACTGGTTAATTTCATTGAAAAGGATAAAATTAATGTAGAACCTGAAGGCAGGATTATAGATCATTATTTTATCAACATTTTGAATAGTTGAATAAACATACAAAATCCCTTTTTGATCATGAATGTAGGAATAGCTGCTTTCAAAATGTAGGTCGTTTTGGAAATCAAGCAGACCACTACTTGGGTGCACTGGGATTTGCAAAAGCTTTGGACAGAACACTGGTTCTTCCACCCTGGAGAACATATGTAAGTATTCTCCTGCTTTCTTCTTCTTTCTTTCTTTTTTTTCTTTCCATCCTTTTTCTTTCTTTTTAAGTGAAAAATGCAATATTAATATAAAAATATGAATGAAATAGATTTTATAAAATATTACAAAGATCACTTTAAAATCAAGTGAATCATGGTGAGATTAAGGTTTCATTCATATTTTTTAAATGATAGCAGAGTAAATTTTGCTTAGTAAATGAGCAGCATACATGCAGAAAATATCTCTATAAGTTCGTTATCAAAGTCTTTTCTGAACCTGTTTACAACTGACTTGTTTAATCATTTAGTTCTAATCTCTGCCAGAAAAACGTTCCATTCAATGACTGGTTTAAAGTGGAGCCAGTGAAAGAGTACCACAGAGTAATTTTAGCAGAGGACTTCATGCAGCACCTGGCACCAGAACACTGGCCACCAGGGCAGCGCTTTGGCTGGTGCTGGCAAGCTCCATCAGTCAAAGATAAGAAATGTGGAATGAAACAAGGTATTGGAAAAATCCTTGTTAAAACTACTAAAACATTTCCAAGATAAATGTGATATTATTATACAACAATTTTTCTTGTAAACATTTAAGGCAAATTATTTAAAAAAAATGGCAAGATGTGTCATTATAACCATTATATTATTTGAATATGATGTCTTTTTAATATAAGGGAAAAGTTTGATAAAACTGTCATGGTAGGTGACATTTTTTGTCAGTTTTTTTACACCCTTATTTATCTAAAATTATGACTTTATTGTGTATCACTATCAATTAGTTTTTTGTTATTTTGTAGTTTTAACTTGCTTTCTTTCATTTAGGTAATCCCTTTGGACCTTTCTGGGATGGACTGAATGTTGATTTTGATGACTATGTCTTTTATGATCTCACATATGAAGAGAGTTACATTGATAAATGGAAATCCATGTAAGTTTTACAGTTTACCAGCATTTTTTTCTTTTTGCTTTCATTCTCAACTGATATAAAATATTTATATGGAACATTGTAAAATTTGAGAAATGGTGAACTGTGCATAAAAGCATTATTATCAAGATTGGGTAAATTTCTCAACTTAAAGGTGCCCAGCGAAAGATTTTCCTGCAACTAACTCTTACAAAATACTTAACTAATTTTCCCAGGGTAAATGCTATTTTTATTGACTTACTGATATTTGATCCTCCTTTTCTGAATTGATAAAACACATTAATGCCTATAAACTATAAAAATATCCTCAGGTACCCTCCTGACAAGTACCCTGTCATGGCATTCAAAGGGGCACCTGCCAGGTTTCCTGTGGCACAGAGACACGTAAAGCTACACAAGTATTTCCAGTGGTCAGAGGCAATAGAAAAAGAAGCTCAGGACTATATAAGTAAAACATTCCAAGGCGATTCATTTATTGGTATTCATCTAAGGAATAATGTTGACTGGGTGAGAGCCTCTTGTAAGACCTTTCCACATCAGTGTTCTGATACATGTGTAGCTTTTAAAAGATATACATGTAATAGACTTTATATTGGTATGTAGGATTTTTTTAAAATAACTTTTATTATTATTTTTTGTCTTCTATGTTTTGATGTTGTATAATTTTTTGAAGGAGCGTGCCTGTGAGCATGCAGATGGTCTTCCTACCTACATGGCATCACCACAGTGTCTGGGGTATTCAGGGGCTGATAGAAAAGTTACAGTGAAGATGTGCTTTCCACCAAAAGAAGAAATTCTCAGGTAAGTTTCTTTTATGAGGAGACTTCTATAAAAATTCATTTATGACAAAATGGGAGCCTCTGGGTTTATGGATAGACACAGTTAAGGAACAAGTCATAGACCAAATAAACTATAATGCACTTGAATTTTTCCTTATTTTCAGATTGACCAAAAACATTTTGATAAAGACCAGGGCCAAGCATATTTATGTAGCAACAGATAAAAACCCTATGATTAAAGAAATAGAAGATCATTTGAAACCACAAAAGGTATTATGTCTATTTAATTGTGGTATTTATATATACTTTTTAAAGAAATATAAACATTTGTTTCAACATTTTCAAATTTAGTTTGGAGTATATTTGTTCAAAATGCAGCTTACACCTGTTTCTAATTAATTCATTGTGAAATAACCCGAATGATTTAAAGAGAAGTAAAATGATATTCCAGGTAAAAGTACACCACCTTGACCCCTGGCTACCACAGATAGATCTAGCCATCCTTGGACAGGCTGACCACACCATCCTTAACTGTATTTCTTCGTTTTCTGCTTTTGTGAAAAGAGAAAGAGACATAAGTGACAAACCAAGTTCATTTTGGGGATTTAGCTGAGATGCCCTGAAAAAAAGCAATTTTTAAAAAATTAGTTTCCATCATCTCTTTAATATTATACATTTGATGTGAACCATTACTGTGAAGTTACCAAGCGGGCACTTTATTGCTTAACTGGTTTTTTTTTAGTGTAACGGTGTCATGTAGATCTGCTGGCTGTGAGCTGTTCAACCAAATATGCAATAATATATATGGTTTTTGACAATAGCAGAATACAGACATGATTTTTAAACTATTGGCAATAAATATTTTTATACATTTTTTAGTTTCTCCATTTTAAAGAACACTCAAATACTGTCTTGATGATATGCAGTAAGATTTCATGGATGTAGCCTGCAGACGAAATGTGCTTATACTGGGTATTTGAATCTCACACCACAGTTGCATACATTGACATATGGCTTGCTATGGTTTTTGTCCAATACCGCAGTGTCATTTTGAAGGTAATGCCAAACAAAAACTTAAAGATAAAGGAAAAGCTGCAAGGCCTGCATATCACTTCCAACCAGTAAACAGAAAGAGTGTGTGATGGCACGTGAATTAATGGAAAGTATATGCAACAGTGACCCACTTCAAGTAAAGGGAAGGAGGCACGTTGTGTGCCAGGTCTGCTATCATTCTGATTATATGGCCACAATTCGTATCATAGAGCAGCTGAATCGGGGTTACATAATGCTATGAAGAAAGCAATCTATAGTCTCCATTGAGCATGAATATTTATTTCTTGATTTTGTATGTAATCATCATTATAAGAATACTTCTATTAAAGATGATCCTTGTTATTCTCAATAAATATTAATTATTGGTCTGTCCTAGACACTGAAATATATCAAATGTACAACAAAAAACAAACCTACAAATCTGTAGTGTAATTGCCAGTTTACAACGTGGCTCCTTTTAAAATCATGTTCTTCTTGCAATCAAGCATAGATACAATTTGGTAACAAATACAAGCAATAAAACTTTCCTAAAATCGATGTTTTATCAATTTCACACTATGCAACCATTCAAGTGTAACAAAGATTTAATATGAAAGAGTTAATTTAAGTATGATGTCAGTCTAGTACTTCTGTTATTATTCAAGATGGTGCGCTTGCTGAAAAACCAATGTCGCTGGCGTTGTTTTTATAAGACTGAAAATTCAGTTTTGTGCATTCTCCAGTGCTTGCAAAATGTCCTCGTCATTCACATCTTCCATCTTCATGGGTATTGGTTGACTGGATTTCTGAGAATTCTGAGAAGTCCTGGGGGTGCTGTGAGGAGTCACAGGGGTAAAGCTACCCTGAGATGACTTTCCTGGAAGATGAAACCATACAACAGTATCATTACAAAGCCATATGAATTTGTGTTAAATTAAATTAAAAAAAAAAAGACTTTTCACAAATCAAGAGAGATGACAACACCAAAGCAATCTAATGTTTTTTTTTTCTTACTTATTAATATAAAACAAGTAAACATGAACAAATAGAGAAATCCACCTCAGAAAAATGGACTCAAATTTATCCAGGTACAAATAACAAATAGAAAGAGTAAATCAATACTGTAAAGCTGATCCTCACCATCCTCCTTTCCTCCATTAATTAACCTTTGACTTTCCTCAAAGTACTGGTTGGGGTGCTGGAGTGCAAAACTTGCCTCCTCTTCTTGTATTCCGTGTGTGAGGTTAAAAACCATTTTACAAGCAATCTGGTAATGTCCTTCTTTCACCTTGCTAATCACCTAAAAATCAGAAAAAATACCAGTGATGTCAGTAAAGTGTACTTTTCAGTGACACCACATGTAGTTTTGTAGAATACAGGAAAAATTGTGTGACAAAGATAGTAATTTTGCCTCGCACCAGACTTAAAGAGAGCAAGCAAAACATGTTAGTTTTAATTCTTTCAATTGATTTTCTTAAGCAATGTACATAAATATAAAAAAAAATTCAAACTTACTGCTTCTGAATTCTCTTTGCCAATTTTCAAATTGGAAAGTTTTTGCCGTAGCATATCTGTATCACTGTGACGGAAGGGGCAACCTGTGAGCACAAACATATCTCTTTATGCATCAAATGTCAAATATTTTGAAGGGATAAAACCCTTGATCATATAACATGGGTTCTGAAATTGTAATTTCTGGTTTATAAAGAACACATTTTGGGATTTTGATCAATGTGATATGGAATTTTGGAACATTTGGAACTTTGAACAATGAAAGGTAAAATTTGATAATTTAAACATTGATGAAAATAACTTTAAAAATATGGCTTTTGGTCTTGAAAAAAAAAAACACATGAAGATACTTTACAATGTATTTTTTTGCAATATATCATTACTGACCATGTCCATCCCCAGGACCTGGGGCATTAGAGGTGATAATCTTCAGACAGTTATATGGAGTGTAGTCTGCCCGCTTGCCCTCTTTACCATAGTTGTGGCGAATGTTGTAAGCATATTGTTTATCAAACTGCAATAAAAAAATAATTAAGAAATACATATAAAGTTATATAAAAAAATTAAAATGAACAAGAAAGTAAGTTTAAGAATATTTGCCTTCAATTTGCCTGTGATGAGAATATTTAATTCCCACAGTATGTACTTTCAATCTTAACTGAAGGAAGAGACAGAATAGGAACAACAGGCTTGCATTTTAAATAATTCAAATCTTTTATACTTTCAACATCAATGTCTAACAGGCATTAATATAAGTATAATTACAAACCTTATCAGGATCAATGGGTCCCTTAGTAAACTCATCCTTCCAGAACTTGAGGGCCTCCTCCAGTGAGAGACCTATAGCCTTTAGGAACAGGCCATACTGCATACGCCCCCAATGGCGTAAATGGTGATCTCGACGCAGACCATCATGAAGTTGTAACATACACAGAGGGAAGGACTTCTTGGAGAGCTGTAAGAGTAATATATAAATGTCAACAAACTTAAAACGATACGGACAAAACAGGTGTGCAAATTCACACAAACAACTCTACTTCCTTATGTCAGAAGAAAATACTTGTCCTAATCCTTAAGATTCATTGATTTATGTTTTACCATATCAATCATGGCTGCTGTAACCTGTCCTCCTGTAGGTTTCCTGTTGGAGTAGTCTTGTCCCAGGTATCTCTTACTGAGGCCACTCAACATAGGCAGCAACCTGTCTTGTTCCTCCATGTGAGGTAGTGCCCTACATATTACCTGTGTAAATGATGAAAAAATACCATAACAGATAAAAACTGATCATATTTTCAGAAATTATTTCACAGTGTAGTAGATATAATAAACAATTCAAATAGCAGTGGTTCAAAAGAAACCAATGACCAAAAGAAATTAAATTTTCTTTTTACATCCATCCAAACTCAAGACCATTTTTTAAGAACCAAAAATGAAAATTATAAACACACGTCACTTATAATACACAAATATTACACATAACTTCTTTGCAGAACAAAAGGTACATACTTACTGCTAAAGCATGGGACAAATGTGTTCTGAAAACACCGAGAATTATAGAAACTAGCTCATTGTAGGGGACATACACATATCCCCTGTGGACATAGACCTTCCTTGCTTTGACCAGGTCTAGGGCTTCTGTGAACGGCACCTAAGCAAAATATATACAATCTCCTGTTATAATCTAGGCAGTGGCATTTTCAAGAAAATGCAAACTATTCTATAGGTTAGGTTTTGTGCTCTATTGGACTTAGTCCATGTAATCCATCATACTGGAAACTGATAATTGACTCTGATTGGAACAGGTGCTAGTAAACCAGGTTTGTTGCCAAGCAACTAATTGTCTCTTGTTCCAGGCAATGATGCAGGTGTTTATTATTACAATTATTCACTCAACAAAATACAAATCACAAAATATGTCTCAAAAACCTAATCAAGTCCAGACAACTAAAACGATTCTTACCCTATAAAAGTCTGTGGCCTCTGCTAAAGAGATGGTCATATCTTTGTGTGAATCTGCAAGCTTTTTAAGTATGCCCTGCTTTTCCTCAAATGGAATCTGTACATAAAAAAGGTATGCAAACTAAACCAAATTATCTAGTGTAAAACCAGTTTCTTTTAAATTATTTCCATCAAGGTGGCAAAGTTACTATTAAATACATAACTGTGCCAAAAATCAAAATGTGTTCCAACTAAATCTGACTACTTTTTATTAATACAATTATTTATCCTTTATGATTTTTTCTTGATTAAGAAATTGAAAATTGATCACCACAGTAAAAACAAATACTCACTGGAGAATAATTCAGCTTGTTTTCCTTTAAAAACATCTGAATGCTCTCTTTACTTTCCACTGAGAACCTGTATCTAAACAGGTCCGTCTCTTGCTGAATATACCACCTGCGCAATTCATCTCTAGAAATACAATTTATTTACATGTCATTATAAAATAATTCTAAGTAGCATCATAAACTTATTTTTACAAATGCCAGTTGTGCAGTAATATGTTTTAGTGTACACTTTTACTACCATAGTTAAGAGAGTATACAGATGAACATAAGTTTCCAGTTTTATAATAGCTTCCACACTGTAACGCTGTCTAGTGCAACTATATCATGTAACTATAACTATCAATTCAATTTCACGTGCAGTTGAAATACAGCAGTATTTCACAAGATGAGCAGGTGAAAGGTGGGCATCTGGATATGAACACTTACGACTTGCAGTAAGCCAGCCTGAGCACAAAGTGGGAGATGAGGTCCTTTCTTATATCATCATACTCCTTATCACTCATGTCATAGATGCTTCCATTCTACAAGTGAAAAACGAAGTGAAAAAAATCAGAAATTGACTGTACTTTCATATTCTAACATTCTTTCTAACATCTTTTATAAAAAGGATAAAATCCCTCACATAAAAGTACCGATATCAATATCAACATGTACATGTGTACCTCGGAAATGTCACCCAAAGGATATGGTGGTCAAAATAAATCATAGGTCATTTAGAACCAAGTTGATTAGAAATGGTACAAAAACGTCAAGGACAGCTTGAACAAAGACTACTAAATATGAAAAAATAACTGCCTTTGGTTTGCTACTGTGATTGATGAACTTTTTAAGTTCATCCCTCACTGAATTGTTGTATTCATCTGATCCTTTGAGGTGCTTCGCTCCTGCATTTTCTACAGCTTTCAGCACTAAAAACACAGAAAAACATTACGTGAGACATGTGCATGATTAATATGATGGCGCTTTGGAAGTATCAGCATTTGAATTATGTTGACTGTTCTAAAATCAATGACTAAAGCAATAAATATCAAGGTACTAAAAGCACCAGCCCAGGGCCAGATATTAACTGCTCTCAGTTGTACCTGTGCAGTACCTCGGGTACATACAAGTGTCATATTTTTTAATCTTAAAAGATTTAACTTGTCATATAGTATAACAAACTGTGACGATTTAATATAACACAGTGACACATTTACTTCATCACACTATGATTCATAACGTTTGTTACTTGACAATTCGACAAAGAACAGGCGAAAGTCAGAAAGATGTACTTGTTTATATTTAATTTACGTTTTAGTCTTTCCACGGCATAGTCCTCAAATTCCTGCAAAGAAATCACATCTTTCGGAGGCAGCGTGTAAAACAGCAGATTGTGTGTGAAACGACTCTTATCTCGATCACCACTAAGCTTGGGTGCCTTCAGTCTCCTTTGCCTTGTAACTTCCATCTTTCAGTTTGTAAACTTTCGCGCGTTAATATTTAGGTCAAGTTGAAGGTAAGATGTGGTCACGCGCTTTCTCGAACCAAGAACCAAAATAAAGAAAATGGCTGATCCGGTGGTCCTTGGCGGCTGGATCAGTTTTGCCTGTGTTGTGTTGGTAAGAATCGTTTCCCTTAAGATATAATTATAACACATATGTTTATGTAGCAATATTTTGTAGATTAAGAGAATTTAAGATATATCCGCAGAATTTAAGAATGTTGTCTTGTGATATAATATTGTGTTTGACACCAACTACAGCAGCCACTAGCAGCTCTTACTATTCTTAGCACGATTCTGAAATATTGAAGAATGCTCAGTGTTTTTGTTTATTGTAGAAAAGCGTTTTAAGTCCAGTTTTAAGATGATGCAAGTGCGCCTGTTTGACAAAGCACAATGTTGTAATGCACACTATAAAGTAAAATGAATCAGTAATACATTATGATAAAATATGTTTTGCATAAAAATTAATGTCTTGCAAAATAAAACCCACTTTCAATATCATTCCAGCTGACTCTCATATTCTCAGCACTTTATATAAGACTCCACAGAAGTAAAACAGACAGTGAGAGGAGCTCTACAATCACATCAGTGCTAGCTGTAGCAGTGGCATTGTTGACCTCTGCCTTAGTGCCCGTAGACATATTTCTGGTAGCTTTTATGAAAGATCCAGATGGAAAATTCAAGGTAATTTTGTTTCTGGTAATCAAGGGAATCTCGCGTCTGTTTCATTTTCAGTAGGTAGCTTTATTTTCAGTGGAATGGGATGGTAAAGCTTATTCTAAATACTCAAAGTTTTCTGATAAAAATGCAAGTTGTTTGTGATCTTTAGTTATTAATTTTTATATTACCTTTATGGTTGACATCTTGTAAAATCACTGTTTTTTTATAAGACATGTTATAAGTCAAGACTACAGAAAAATGAGAGTACATTTGTAAGTGTTGTTGTAGGAGTGGGCAGAGTCCAATGTTACCAGGCAGGAAGTGGAGACATCAGTACTATACACCTATTATAGTAAGTGTATTCATTTAGTATTGGTTTATATGATCTTTAGGTGATAAGATGATGAAATATATCAATGTCATGCCTTAAAATGCACCAAGATACAATAACAAATATATTATGAAAAATAATTATGGTTTATAACATTTCATTATTATCCAGATCATTACAATATTTCATTTATTTTCAGCCATGTATGCACTGATCACATTCTTCCTGTTCTTTGCCCTACCATTTGTATATTTTTACTATGAAGAGAAGGAAGATGAGAATCCAGGTAAAAAGGTAAGTAAAACTGTAATAAATGTATTATTTCCAAAGATGCACTGTGTTAACAGAAAATATCTCCAGTTTCAAAATGAAACAATGAATTTGAGTTGTATCCCTGGAAGAACTATGGATTGTGCTGTTATTGGGGTTTAAGTGATTTTGTATGATTTTGGTGTTATGACTCCCAGAAAGTCTTATATTTATTACCATCCTCACTCTTGTGGATCATTTTGATGTTTTGTTTTACTTTTCAAATGGGGAAATAAATTTTCAGCGTTTCTGCTCTGCATTCCTGTACACTTTGGTGTTCCTGTTCATAGCAGGAGTGCTGTTGCTAGTTGGGTAAGTTATGATTTTTATATTAAAGTTTTAATTAGAAAATTTAGAACAAAACACTATCATGCACTGCCTGTTTGAATGTAACACAGTTGGTGGAACTGACAGGGTAGAAAAACAGAAGCCAGTATCACTGAATCTTTGGTGGGTGCCTAGCTGTGAAAGGTTTTTGATGTAAAATAAGAGAATGTTTCTTTTTATCCCCACAATACTTGGGTCCACTTTATCTTGAAAAAAGATATCTTTTCTAGAGCTTTTGCTCCCATGAAGACTGCACCTGATGCCAATCTGACAGAATGGAAACGGTTGGAGTTCCTATTCAAGGATTTAGCAACAAACAGTAGGTTTTAATATCAAGGTAACAGGTTATTAACTTACTAGGCGACACCAAAATGCCAGATGATAAATATACATACATGTTTTGATATACTTTTACCTCTCAACAATCAATGAAAATTCTGGTCATATTTGATGAAGCATTAGAAAATTGTTAGTGAAGTCCTGTACTAATTAGGTTTGTTTTCCCCGAAGATGAAATATGTTGAAAGCAGCATGATCAACTAGACCTCCATTTGTCAACACAAATGTAAATTTAAATCGTTTGTGTTTATTAGGTAGGAAAAATAAATACTAATAGTCTTGTATTATTTCAGATGGAGAAGATGCCTTGTCATTTCTCATCTGTTCACTGACACTGATTGGTCTGCTTGGACTCATGATATACACTGTAAGTTTTTAAAAAAGTGAAAAAATATTCTTAGATGTAATACTTACGAAAAACCCATGCGTAAAAGGCAATTCAATTATTTGATATTCAGGACTTTTTGAAACTTTTAATAATATTTGTTTGAGAATATTTTTCAATAATGAAATTTTATTTGCAGATGATTAAGAAAAAAGCCTAGAATAATTTGATCTTATATATGTCTTTGTAGGCTTATGGTATGACAGCCTGGCCAGTGAACCTCATCCGAGGGACCCGTGGGGCTAGTACTGAGCTGTCAGAGGTTTCAATGAATAGGGCAAGAAGGAGTGATCAAATTGAAGCTATAAGAAACAAGGTACAGTCAGCATCCCCTTACAGTAGCATGGTTTTTACATACGTGATGCATACTGCTTGTATTAGTTTTAATAATACTTATTTAACATGTAAATCTTATTATTTTGGTCTTTTTAGAAAGGATATAGTGGGGTTTAATGTATTTTTGATTTTTGTTTTTTGTTTTTAGTATGGTGCAGGTCGCCGTATTTCTGCTAGGGACAGGCGTCAGATAGAATCTCTTGAAGATGAGGAGCACCTGCTGGAAAGACAAGAGCGCCATCTACAGGCAGAGGCCAACAACTGTTGTAGCAAATGTCTTAAGATTCTCCGCCCACTGGAGATGATTGCAGGAATTGTATTCTTTTTGGTGGCATTGTTGATTTTCCTGTCTCTGTTGCTCACTAAGTAAGTGTTTAGACAGTCTTTGGTTAATTAATTCTTTGTAAAAGTGATATTTTTCTTGGTTTAAACATTCTCTGCAATAACATTTGAGCATCTAAGAGTTTTTAAAAAGTCATGCAAAGATGAAAGCATTGCTGACTCCTTCCTTTGTACCTTTATGTTAATGAAAATTCACCTAGGTAACTTTTCAGATTTTTTACATTGGTGAGCTTTTATAATTTACAATTTAACACTTCCCTAATTGTAGCATAGACAAAGCAATGCATTCCTATGGGTGGAGAATGGGATATGCACTGCCACACAGAACGTTACCAAACCCACTGGATATTGTACTGGTCTTTTCACAGCAGGTTTGTACAAAGGAATACAAAAGTGACATAATTAGCTATTTACTGATCAAAAGGTATTAGTAGTACAGTGCTTGCCTCTACTAAAGGAATTTATTATCCTGTTGCATAAAGCCATAAGCAAAATGCAATTAATTTTCAAACATGTCTGAGCACTCATCTATAGGGGCTGTAGCAGGGTAAATGAGATCAGGTATTTAAAAAAATATTGTTTTCTATTCAGGTTTTCCCACTGGACTACATTTTGATGGCCGGTATCATTATGTACTTTTTCTTCTGCTCTATGGCTGGGATTCACGATATTGGAATCTGGTTCTTCTGGATAAAGGTGTGCATGCTTTGCTTGAAAAATGATTTTAGTTGTGTGTAGTAGACATGATTATTTTGAAGTGTGTTTTGCTGAAGTTGCAAAAATATGTTAATTGCAATATTTGCTGTCATAGGGCCAGACAGACAACTCTGATTATCTCAAAGTTATTTCAAATATAATTGATGAAACTGTCTGTGAAATTAACTTCGCAGTTGCAATCTACTTTTTTGTTTGTTGGTTGGTTTTTCAGATGTACAAGATTCGGCCTAGAAAAACCAGACCCCAGGGTCTTCTCATGATGTGTTTTCTATTGATGTTGATTGGGTTGGCTACCAATGTGATCATATATGAGCTGACACCACAGTACTCAATGTATGGCAGCCAGCATTATGTGGTGAGTAATGTGGATGGAGATTTGGTTTATTATAAGTCATACATACTGTTGGTTTTAATGATCAGAGTTGGGGGGAAAAAAACATACCATTGGGTTTATATGTACTACCCTACCTGCATTTCAAACATAAAAGTTTTAGAGTTTAAATGAATTAAATGAATGTATCAGATACAAAAGGAATATAAGTTGTGGTTTTTATCTTTTCTGTATTTGTTCCAGGCAAATTCTACCAAGGTCACTATGTGCAGTACCAGTGCACCTGAAGGTATGTATATCACTTTAACTGAACATGTATCAGGTGTGAAATTAAGAACTCTGAGGAAGTAAAACAATTATATGCTGTTGTATAGGGTGTATTGTGCTTATTGTTTCAGTTTACTGTTCATATACGTTGATTTATTTTGTGCACGCTTTTAAATTAGTAATAATGTTTGTTTTCACATATTCAAAAAATAAATCTTATAAACAGGAATATATTTTGGACACATCAAAAGAAAGATGTTTGGTCATTTTGCTTGTTTAGTAATGTATAACCTTTTTTTAAATTATTACCAGGTGACTGTGTGATGACCAGGTTCACCACATTGTTGACCAGATTCTTCTACAAGGTCTGGTTCTTTGGAGCCTGCTACTACTGGGCAGGATGGGTGTTCCTAGCTGTAAGTCATGTTAACTTTTTGTCATTACATGTATCTTTATTTCACATGGGATAAATGTCTGCCCATCCATTATGCTTTCATTGAGCTGGAGGTTCTGAATTTTTTAGATATTTTGAATTAATGATAACTAATTGGTTGTACAACAGGGTTTCAAGCACTATGCCTTATATATGCTATTTAGTACATAAGTTCTTCTGAATAATGTGTCAAGGTGTTGCTTCATTCCAACAAGCTGATGAACAGCTTCTGCACAGGGGCAGACAGTTTGTACCAACCTTGTTAAAAATGGGGAAAAAGTCATCTCATTTATTTTCAAATATCCAAGAAACCCATTTCATGCACATTTGAAGTTTACATTTGAATAGTTTGTTGGAGATACACATTGTTTTGATGTAGTTAGTTGATTGATTATTTACTGTGGAGCATAAACATATCTTTTATTTTTCTCATAAGTTTCATTCCTTGTTAACAGACTTGTGGCTTATTTTAGGCACCATTTGTTTGAGGTGTGACTTTAATGAAAATAATTTGTTCTACTAAGATGTTTCATTCTTTTAAAATCTTTTCTTCATACATTAATTTTGTTACAGGTGATACCGCTGTCATTTGTGATCTCCTTGTGCAGAAGAAGAAAATCTTCCATCAATGGGCAGGTTGAGGAGGATGACTTTGATAGTGATGAAGAACTCTTGTCAGCCTGAGATCAAATTAAAAGAGGAAAAGGCTTTCTTCTAGCAACATTTAAAACAGTTTTATATCTGTTTATTTTCTAAAATCATCTCATGCTTCATTATTGTTGGTGGCCAATCTTGAAGTCAAGGTCAGCAGTCTGGAATATTTGTTCAATTACTTACAGATTTCTTACTGAATACACTTTGCTCACATTTGATCTGAAAAATTCCAGTAATTGGTCATGCTTTCACACTCTCACCGACATTCTCATGATGAAATTTTCCATTCTTTCACTTCGTGTTACATATTAGTGCAAATGCATAATAGTATGTACTGTATTCTGGTCTTCTTATTGACAAATTTTTGATGCCACAGCCTCATTTTAATTCACAGACAGCCACAGTGGAGAATGACAATTTGTAGATATTTAAGGCAGCTCCTATTGTGTAGTGTGCAGTTATGGTACTGTCCAGACAGCTGGGGTACTGGAGATTGGACGTTGTAGTAGATAATAACATTGATAAGGTTTATGGAATACAGAATACAATGATGCTGTAGAAAAGAGGTTTACAAAAATCAGGTTCTCTGCTAAATTGCTATCTTACCAATACTGCAAAATTTCACCCGTTTTCAATATTTTGATCTGTTCAGGTGGAAATTATGTTTCCAAAATGACATTGTGCTTCAAAATGATCATTCTGTCGTGAATGGCTGTAAATCATTGTACATAGTTGTGTGTTCAATAGGTTGCTATATCAACTGACACATTACATGAGATTTACTGTTGTGTGTACTCTTTAGACTTGTAGACCGAGGTTACATTAAGTTAATAATCTAGAGGTTAATACAGACCTAAGTATTATGTTCAAGTATTATGTGTTATGTAATGATATGCTTTGGGGTGTTGGTATCTGTCTGTAAAGATACATCTATTTATTATCTCGTACCCCTAGGTATTTCACACACAGTGAATCATTTAAACTTTTTATGAAAAAAATTAATGTTATTTTGTTAATAGAAATTGTAGAGATCTTGTTTAAGTGAACAAAATTATGAGATTGTAATGCATGTAGTTTCTGTACATTCCACTCAAATATATGGTTTAAGTGAACCTAATTTAGACGTTATTAGAAGCAAGTTTTTTACTTGATTGCAGTGTTAAAATTGGAGGATTTTTACTCAACATCTGGTTTGAAATCTTTCACTTATACTCGGTCTTCATTGTGGCATTCAGAGATGTCATCCTCATATTTTCCTGACCCTAGTACTATATATATATATATATATATATATATATATATGCCAATGTTTTAACACGGATGTGCAATGGTTTAAAATTCAAATATGTTGAAATAAAAAGAATGACTCCATTTATTATCATAATGAATTTAATGAGGAATCTGTTTTTCATTCATTGGAAAAAAACTTTTCAGTATCATAAAATGTATCAAAAAGATACTACAAACCAATATATTACCCAAAAACCAGATTTTTAACAAATTGAGGACATTTTAGAGAATAATGGCAGAGGAGCCCTACAAATTCTTTCATCATAAAAAGTCTCAATGATTTTTGCATACAATCTAACATTTCTTTCACTCATGTTAAAATCATTATGACACATACATACAAAATAAATTTATTAATAACAATGATTTGTCATCAAGGATGAAGGAGTCCACATTACTTGTAATTCTTAGACTTGACTTCAAGCAAGTCCATTATAAATCTATCAATAAATCAACAAATAACAATAAGCTTTTTCTCACTTTAAAAATATCAATGTGGTCTCCTCCATTTTCCTTGCAATGATTAATAAATAGAACAAGAGCTTAAGATATTGTCCTCTAGCAATATGTACAAGGCTGAAGAAACAACATCCTTTTCTATTTAATGCAATTTTGACAAAAGAAACCTTACCAAAGGTAACCTCACTTTTGACAGACATTTTAAATGAAGCCCCAAAAAGTATGCCCTAATTCTTTTAAATCAAGGATGCACCGAGTATCTCTTTCAACCTTGTACACCTAAATGTGTATAATTTTTGTGTCACCCTAAACATTTTACTACATGAACCTTGAATTTTATTTAACCATGACTATTATTTAACTTTTTGATCACCCTTGGTTCATAAAAACACCATCTGATAGTAATGGATCATAACTTAAGCTTTCATACTTTATCATGATAAAATGTTAAATGTTCATGTAGAAATATTGGCTAGGACTTGAAACTTGATATAATATTAACAAATACACTTACGCACAGTTCACCCCACAATTTACAAGGTTTTAGGTTGTCTCATTCATACACCATTCACTCAGTCTCAGATTACCAAGAACCATGCCAGAAAACCTTAATCTGCACTGGGGTCCAATAATAACAATGTGGATTAATGAGGTGCCAGCACATACATATAGCAATAATCATTTAAATGGTGACCAAAAAAAAAAAAAAAGATTATCTTTGTAGTGCAATTATGTGTTAAGGTTTCTGGCAGGTCTTGTTTGACTAGTGGAAAATATTTCAATGCACTGCATTGCAGAATTTAACATTACTTGAAAGTGCAATTTTTAATCCATTAAAAATTTGGATTTTTTTTTTTTAACTCACCAAAACATCTTGCAGTTCCAACCTATAACCTTGTCATCACAGTAGAAATATGTTATTAAGGCATAACAGCCAGATACAATATTATTTACAAATACAATTATTTACAATATCAATTTTCACTTAGAAAAGATATTCATGCTTCTGTCATACACACCGTCACACTTCCAGTTAAATGTTTCTCCCTTAATCATCCAGAATATTGATTCTACATGAGACGTACAGAATGCTTACTTTGATCAACTAAATTGCACAAGTAAATCTGCTGTTTCCTGAAATAGTATCAACTGTTAAATACATAAATTTCTCAAATAAATTTATAGTAAACTAAGTACACTTAGGAAGATGTAATTTGAGGGGAATTTTGATTGCATTTTACATTTAATAATTTTCAAATTCTTTACAATATCTTCAACATGCAGTACCCACCATATCAAATCAAAAAAAAAAAAAAGATGAAATCAAAATCTCTATCATTATCAAAGCTACAAATTGCTACATTAAAAACGGTGTATAATGTAACTTCTATCCCTTACACTGGCATTATGCTATATAAGAGATCATGAATAATTTTCTCAAAAAATACAAGGTATAAAAATCATACTTTCTAATGTTCAACTTAAGTGTTCTCCTTCAAAGTGATAACTATAGGTACAGAATTTCAGCTTAGTGCAGCATCAATTTAGATCATCTGATTGATATAATTGAAGAACCAGGTAATACACCGTTATCAGAAGAAAATCCACATATATTCCATTGGACGTCTTTCCTGGTATATGAATGTGTATGGGTCCAAGCCTTCCGTATCAACCAAGTAGCCAAAATTGTACAACAATGAGCACTTGATAACCATCCACTTTCTCTTTTATGACTGACACCAGAATAATTCCACTACTTACAATGTTTGATATCTTTTATCCTGATAGTCCTTAATAAAGCTGGCAGTTAATTTTAATTCTAACACTGATGGCTTGCCTTCAAAAATGTTATTGTAAAAAAACTCATTTTTTTCCAAGACATATTACACCACTTTACTGGTAGTTTTGTATTATTGGCCTGTGAGAACCTAGTGAACTAGATGGGAAAGAATTTGTACTGAATGAACTAAATAACCACTTTTAGCATTTTCTGTCAGAACTCTTGGCACCATGAAACAACAAAGAGTAAACGGTTTGGATAGTCCGCCATGTTAAAGAAAGGTATTCTTTGTCTAGACAAAATCAACACCTCACCAACTTATTTATATAACAAGCTGTCTTTAAGGAAATCTTCTTTCATTTTTTTTTTTTATTTCTAAGCATATTTTCAGATATGTCTCAGGGAAAGTTACTTCTAAATCTTCTTTGAACTTGACAGTCTGAAGAGATCCCTATTATGATTTTTTCAGTCTTCTTGCTGCTCTCTTTATAGTCCTCCCTCTTGTGACATTAGAGTTAGCACTGAATGGGTTGTCTGGAGTTGGACCAGTAGCACTAGAAAGTTATCAAATAATAGCTGGTATTATGAGCTATGTTATTTCAGAAATCATAGTGCAGCCATAATCCATTTTATTTCTATACATCAAAATCATAATTTGTGTACAATTAATATCAATGAATAGAGTTAAGAAAAAATAAAATGAACATATTGAAGATGAAACCAACTTCTCTTCGTAAAACAAATAGAAAGGTACTGATATGAAGCAATAATCAAACAATTCCCACAAGCTGATGGATATATTAATACCTTTACATAACATCTTTAGATATTTACCCGAATCCTGAAAATTGGGCCTGTGAGCCTGAAAAGTTGAAGGAAGGTGTGGCACTAAAGCTGGTGGCCTGGGAGGCACCAAAGTTAGTGTTGGGGGTGGCACTGAAGTTGAAGCCTGCGGAGCTTCCTGAACCAAATGTCGATCCACTGCTGCCATCTGCTGGTTTACTCTGAAATAACGCCACCAGAACTTGCATAGTTATGAATATAACAATGATGACATTGGACAATGATAACTTATTACCTAAGAAACAGATTATGTTTCTTGCATATAAAAAACTAATACCTGCAATTCATCCAAAATGTTTCCAATATCTATTTAAAAAAACCAAATTCCACAAAATCAGACAAAACTATAACATATATATACTGATACAGGTTAAATCAGACTACCTCCTGTGGTTTAGCACCAAATGCAAAGATCTCCCCTGTCCCAGTGCTGGCTCCTGGAGCAGTGGTCTGGCCAAACTGGAAGCTGGGGGTCGTGCTGAAGGGTGCTGTTAAAAAAAAGTTAAGTACACAATCTGATTACACTGATATAATGATAAAACTGCAAAAATCAAAGTGCTGAAAGCAAAACTGAAACTTAATGTGACTTGAGTCTGTCAAAAAGACAAAAGGTACCCCCTTTATTTACATTCAAACAAACAACATAAAAAGTCAAGTGAAGCATTGTAACTCTTGTTGTTCACAGAACACTGGTGCAATTGAAAAACAAACTTTGTAGTCCACAGATCTTCACCAGTTTAAAACTACTACATCAACCAAAAGCCAAAGCTTACCAGGACCAGTCCCGGTGGCACCAGGTCCAGTAGAACCAAAACCAGAAGCAAATACAGGTGCCCCAGTATTCTTGGTACTATCACTGCCAGCACCACCACTTCCAAAGGCTTGTGTGGACCCAAAAGTGCCCCCAAACCCTGAGAAGGCGGGCGTGCTGCTCCCAAATACTGAACCAGTGGTACTAGCTGAAGTTGTTGCTGTCGAGGCTCCAAATGTCGACGGAGCTCCTGCACCAAACACTGGAGCAGTGGTGCCAAAACCTGATGATGGTGCTCCTTGGGTACCAAAGGATGGGGTGGTGGATGGGGTGCTGAACAGGCTAGAGGGTGCAGTAGAACTGCTGCCAAAGAGTGGGAGGGGAGCAGATGATGTGACAGATGTGTTGCCTCCACTACCAAATGCTACAGTTGAGCCAAAGAGTGATGGCGCTGATGTGGCGCTTGTTGTTGATGTTGTTGTTGAAGCAGTGAACCCTCCTAATGCTGGGGCTTGAGTAACTGAGGCTGCTGCAAAGGTAAAGATTTTGAACTTATTTCTGTTTGACTGATATCTTCACCAACCCCAGTCTAAATAGATGTCATACCATTAGTTACAAAAATCATACCCGTGACCATGAGTCATCAAAATTAAAAAATAACTAAGCCAGTTACCTACCTGGAAAACTGATTGTGGGAGCTACCGCACCAGTAGGCTTGATGCTCCCAAATGCAAGTTTTTTCCCTGATATTTCATCCTCTGGAAATTAATTAGACATCTTATTAATCATAAATTGTTCTCTATTTCTCAAATGAAATTTGGACATTTTTCATCAGCTTAGGGATTGTTGATTGATACATCTTTTTTTCCAATAATTCAATCCAAAAAAGTTAAACAAAACACCAGTACCAATATAAAGAAATCAAGCCCCCACGCCCCTCCTCATGCCAGTCCACAGCCAACCTAGTCAGCATATCAGCTGAATATTTACATAAGACAGGAATTACATCGTACCATCTTCATGTCCCCTTTTCAAAGGTGAAGACTTCTCCTTTGCACCAAATCCCCCACTAGAGGGTGCTGTCTGTCCAAAAGTGATATTTCCAGTAGATTTTGTCTCATCAGGCTTTGCACCAAAGGTAAAAGCAGCTGCACCACTGGTGTCTGTATTACCAAAGCTAAAACCTGATGATGTTGGCTTTGTTGTGTCACCTTTGCCTATTATACAAAATAAAACAAGCATGAGGACTTTTTCATGTAAGATAACGAGGACTATTAATTTGAAAGTTAACTTTGTTAGTTCTTTTTTTTTTTTTTTTTGTTCAGTGCATCAGTTAAATAAATCAAAAAAGAATGTTACTATTAGTCACAATTTCATAGTCCAATTTGTAAAATGTTTTCAAACAATAATATATACTAGCAATGAAAGAATGCAGATCATAATTTACAGCATGCTACAAAGGAATGAAAAGCATTGTGCTCCTATAGTATACCTATCCCAGCTCCCACAGCAAACCCAGATGAAGGAACAGAATTGGCTGGGAAGGGATTCGCTGTTAGGTCTGTTGAGTTCACTGAAGGTTTTGGTGCCCCAAAACTAAACCCTCCTGCTGCTGAAGTGACAGCATTGGACACTGATTGAGTACTTTCTCCAGGCTTGCTCCCAAAGCTGAAACCTCCCATAGTAGCTGTAGTTGTGGTGGTGCCTGGGGGATTGGCACCAAACTTAAACCCCCCAGGAACAGACGTCTCAGCCCCAGACTGTTCTTTTTTACTGTCAACAGATTTGTCATTAGTTTGTCCAAATTTAAAACCACCAAAAGCTGCAGTGTTACTTGTTGATGTATTTACAGAATCACCACCAAATTTAAAACCACCACTTGATTTCTGTTCTTTCTTCTCTTCCGACTGCTTATCTGCGCCAGTCCCAAATTTGATTCCTGTACCGACAGTCTTGTCTTGAAAACCAAACTTAATATCACCAGTATTACCAACTTCTTGAACTCCAAATTTAAATCCTGTTGCATTAGAAGTGGCTGTTGATGTGGTCTGGGTGCCAAATGTAAATCCTGATGTCTTGCTGTCCCCAGATGTGGTTTTATCAAACTGAAATCCACTACCAGTGCCAAATTTGAATCCCCCTTTCATTCCGGATCCTGTAAACCCTGGAAAAACCAGATTAGATTTATTTCAAAATACAGGATGTTTGGAGTGTTAATTTTTTTCAGGTTTAGCTTTCCGACATAGTATAGCTGAATTTATCTTTTAAATGTTAAATTATTCAAAACACCAATAGATGATTCACAGTGTTATTCTGTATTCAAATTGACTCGAACA